GGCCACGATAGACACCTACAGACCGGTTTCAAGCTCTTTGACTCTCATCAGTGCAGGGCAGTCTCCAGCCAGCAGTCCTAAGGCCGCCGACTGAGCGTAGCCTAGCCCAAAAAAAATCAAGTCGGCATTATATTTCCCAGAGGCGTCCTTTATAGACAATATAAGAGCAACGCCATCTGAGTAGAAACGAAGAAAAGAAACACGCCGAAACTAAAATTCCCATACCGTATCAACAAACTAAAAAATTTCGACATTTTACTCAACGATCAATCAGACCTCAATAGTTCACCACTGTTGAATTTGTTTTCTTAGTAGGTAATAATATTTAGTTGCTATCAACCCTTGTATTTTAATGTAGATATTGTGCCTAATTTCCGAGAATGAAGGTTTATCGAACCGTCCACAGGTAACTAATCCTTTAAGTTGGGAAAGTAGGATATATAAAAGTTAAGCAAGCCAACGTTGGTTTAGTTCATTGCACCAGTATATCACCTGACGAAGCTACTGTGATAGCGAAACATGTTGTGTGTTTGAGAATTTTGTGGAAATCTTATCGTTTGTGAAGTTTTTACATTTAAAGAACATCCAGTAGGGATCAAAATGATGTTGCTTTATAGACCCTAGGATATTTAACTATATCAACAGAAAGATCTTCTCTATCTCTCATTACAGTAGAGCTATATTGCTTCTCCACACTACGTGGACACTCGGTATATAGCTTATAAAAAGGCATGATTTCATTCAAAATATTCAATAAACATTCACAAAAATTTAGCAGCAAATTTAAACTAATTCATGATGTTTATCGGGTGTCCATTGGTGGCCATTTTGGAAATTTCCACCACGGCCGCCAGAGGGCAGTAGGCCGATGGCTTCACATCCAAATTTGTTCATGATATATCGGCTGACCTCCGTGCCAAATTTGGTGCCTTTATCAAAAATTGCACAATAGTTTATCTGGTGTACTACTAATGATAAAATAAAAAGTGGAAGAAGACAGGTAGGAACTATTGTACTGGAGCATATTTGGATCCATAACTGGAGAATAGGTACCAGTGAAATAGTTATTTATTATACAAGGGAAAAAAGTACTAGATTTTAGCTCCAGGTTGTGTTGTCTCCCGACGCGTAGCGGAGGGAGACAAAAAACCGTGAGCTAATCTAATATTTTTCCCGTGTATAATACACTATTTTTTTCTGTGATAGAAGAAAGGACGAATCAATATTGAGAAGATATTACATTATTTTGAAATCTGAAAATTATCGATGTGAAATTTTAAGTTTTTAACAGTAGGGACACCTGCGTTGTACGCATCTTCATCATTCTTTTGGAGTAATCAAATATCTGATGTCACTTCTGTCAGTCTAATTCTGCTGTGATTTGATTTCAAAAAATTGCGGATTTAGTGGTTGTTTAGTAATATACGTAACCGCGAAGTCGAATGTAAGATAAAAGGACAGTTTTTCTCGGAGACGGTATTATTGACTCATTTTTCGGAACTATAGCACAACAGAAGCCATCAACAGTGTATATACATATATGTGATATATATCCGGGAAAAAAGTACTCCTTTTTTTTCCACGGGAAAAAAGTAATTTATGAAAAGTGACATTTTATAACCTGCCAACAGAGATGAAATGCCAAACTTTTTTCCCGTCACAGAAAAAAAAATATACTTCATACATTTTATCAAAACTATCCAACTCTGAGGAGCGCAGAGCGGAGCAGAGCGGAGCAGAGCGGAGCAGAGCGGAGCAGAGCGGAGCAGAGCGGAGCAGAGCGGAGCAGAGCAGAGCAGAGCGGATAAACGAGTGTCTAGAAGAGTTTATAAACGCGTTACATACTATGATTTTTCTACGAACTCCGAGAATTACATGCAATTCCTGCTAACCTACAAAATAATTCGAAAGGAATGGGAATTGAGAACATGATACATGCAATTGCATGCAACCAGCGAGACACGTATAAGTGATATTGGTTGTAGATGTGTCCAGTCCATTGCTTACTAACATTTGTTTCACGTTTATTGTCGTGCTTAGCGCCGAATATAGTATATTATGTAACAAGTGTTATTAACGTCCATTTAGTAACGATTATTTTAAGTACGAGCGGAGTAAAGCAGAGCGAGTGTTTAATAAACGAGTGTCTAGAAGAGTTTATGAACGCGTTACATACTATGCTTTTTCTACGAACTCCGAAAATTACATTAACCTACCTACCATCTCTGCTAACCTACAAAATAATACGAAAGGAATGGGAATGGAGAACATAATACATGCAACTGCATGCAACTAGTGACACACGTATAAGTGCTATTGGTTGCAGATGTGACCAGTCCATTGCTTACTAACCTTTGTTTCACGCAGTTTCACGTTTATTGTCATGCTTAGCACAGAATAATTAAATTGTTCCCAAAGATGAATGCTTCAATTTTATACACTTCTTGGAGATATCCAAGTACCAGAACATTCTCTTCGATTTCACTTTCGTCTACATTTTGCATATATTTTTAATGAAGAATTCTGTTACAAACGAATATTGTGTGAATAATTCTGATACAAAATTTGAATATAACATTTGACAGTTAATACAATTGACAGGCCAGATATGTCTCAGATTACTGAAGCTGTGTTTGATGAACTGTATTGCCACGGTAATGTGTTTAAGAAATCGTGTTGCTATGGTAACGTGTTTGATATTTTGAATAAATCACAGATCGTCAATCCGTGATCAATCGATCATTTAGCGTGGTACATACCCGTTCGCTAAATGCCATTTTAGTTATGTGAGTAAAAAAATAAAGAAAAAAGGCATCATATCTCACTTTACAATATGGTGAATGGTAATCTATAAGGTGAATAATGGATAATGGTCGCACCAAAAGTTTTCCGTTGAGATTCCTACAAATATCAAATGTACCAATGATTCTACGATAATGAAAAAAAATTTGATCACATCAAGTAGAGGAAGTTTGTAATTTTATAGATAGATATACGATAAATTATGACTATATAACAATTATCAACGGATTATAGGATCCCGATGAAGATTATCAAAAATATTCGTATTCCTCAATAGTTAATGTTTTGATATACCTAGTTCTCATTGTCATTCGGTATGAAAAAGATTACAATCATTTTCAAAGAGTAGTGAAAATTACTACTATATCTTCATGTACTGTGAAAATAGGTAATGTCCAAAAAATAATATAATTTTTCTACTCACATAACTAAAATGGCATTTAGCTTACGGATATGTAACACGCTAAATGATCGATAAATCACGGATTGTCGATCTGTGATTTATTCAAAATATCAAACACGTTACCATGGCAACACGATTTCTTAAACACATTACCATGGCATGGCAACGCAGTTCATTAAACACAGCTTCAGTACTTTGAGACATGTCTGGCCTGTCAATTGTATTAACTGTCAACTGTTATTTTCAAATTGTGTATCAGAATTATTGAAACAATATTCGTTTGTATCAGAATTCTTCATTAAAAATATATGCGAAAAGTAGACGAGAGTGAAATGGAAGGGAATGTTCTGGTACCTACTTGCATATCTCCAAGAAGTGTAAAAATGAAGCATCCATCTTTGAGAACAATTTATTTATTCTGCTCTAAGCATGACAATAAACGTGGAACTAAGGTTAGTAAGCAATGGACTCAACACATCTACAACCAATATGACTTATACGTGTCTCGCTGGTTGCATGCAGTTGCATGTATTATGTTCTCAATTCCCATTCCTTTCGAATCAATTTGTAGGTTAGCAGGAATAGCAGGTATGTAATGTAATTTTCGGAGTTCGTAGAAAAAGCATAGAATGTAACGCGTTTATAAACTCTTCTAGACACTCGTTCATCAAACACTCGCTCCGCTTTGCTCCGCTCGTGCTTGAAATACTCGTTACTAAAAGGACGTTTATAACACTTGTTACATAATATACTATTATGGTCCGGTCCTGTCTTCTCTCATCTCTTGGGTTATACAGAGCACAGAGCAAAGGTGATAAGAAGAGTACGATGAGATTACTGCATTACAGCACCTGTTTACAAAAATAAATAAAATCGTATAATTTCGCGTAGCAACAATGCTCATTTATTATTTGTTTATTAAATATCTAATAGGTCGTAAAAATTACGATAATTCAATCTAATACAGGGTGTGTATCTGAATAACACCAGAAAAATTCATTCTAGAAGATTAAAGTTCATATTAACATGTGTAACTTGCTCCGTTTTTGAGATACAGGATGTTGAAGTTGGATGTATTAATTGTTTATATTTATAACCCCCCTGTATGAACTTTCATGGTGCCAAAATTCAGTATACATATGGATCGTTATGTCTGTAATACATCATGGTATCGACCCATAACATTTTCTCAATTCCATATTTTGTCTTCAGGTTGTTGGAAATCCAAAATGCTTCGAAGGAATTAAGCATTAGTCTCATCTTAGTTCTTTGCAAATATCTCGAAAATTTCAACATTTTTGGCATCGATAGCCTGTCTTGAAGAAAATATGAAGAAAATTGTAGACAATGAGAACTTCATACTTTTACAATAATTTACCTAAAATTACCTATGGAATAACACACCATTGGAAGTTTTAACACTCTTTATACGTATAGGATACATTTTAGGACATACATTTATAATAGGTTCTTTTCACTCCAAAAGATTGTATGAACTAAATTTCTTGGTCTCATTCTGACTCACTCTGATGTATATTGTCTTATTTAGGAGCAGAAATCGTTCCATTTTATTTTTATCATTATTTGAACTGCGACAGCATTATTATGCAATTTTTTTTTCGAAAACAATTATCTATTATGTGTTGATAATACAAATCATTTAAATTTCCTCAAATGTTACCTATTGTAGGTAGTTGGAAGATTTATATTCATATTTGGATATCTTATTTATACGAATCTTTATATAGACTTGCATCAGAACCAAACAGATAGTATTCTCAATTACACAATTTGATAAGAAATAAACATCGATGAAAAAAATATAATTGTTATTGAATCAATATCAATAAAATTTGTTGGTTCCTCTGACTATAAGTATAAAATGTTCGGCAGGACATGTTAGTCTCAGTAAATTTTGGGACGGATCAGATATTAATAAGTACTCAATTTTCTACTAGTAGTGCTCAAAGTAAGTAGGTACCTACATTTTTACTAGTTGATTATTATACTGGATTCACTAATTGAACCAAGAGTAGATATTAGAGTTAGTTTTGAAAGTGTTTGCTGGTCAAGATAAATTAGAAAAACACCCCGTAACTCACACAGTTTTCTGACAATTCCTGGTAATTAAAGTGTCAAAATAAAAAACGAAGAGATTATCCTCAAGAACTAATCTCCTTTTCTATGTTATTGAAAGCGGGAACTGATTCGTTCCCAAGATATATGTCAAATTTCTTATATTTTCAATACTCACATCAATATTTTTCGAAAAATATTTTCCAAACAAGGTGTGACTGACTCTCATATTTTGGGAGTAATCATCATATCCTCACTTAGTGGTCACTACCCCAGACAGCACGAAGTGATTCTGAGAACGTTCTCGAAACATTCCCATGGAACATTTCGAAAATTCTCAGATGGTTCCCACCAAAGTACACTGAATGTTTCCTTCCAGAACATTCCCAGAACATTCCATCGATATATTGAACATCCTCAGAATGATCTATAGGAATATTCTCAGTATAATGGGTATCTTGAAGCGCATGGAACATATTTGAGGAGTCGATGTAGGAATGAAATAATATGTCCATAGCTGTGTGTTCCAAAAGTTACCATAATACCATTATGAGATGATATTTATTTCACAAACTCTGAAAAAACATAACCAAAAATTGTTGCTGTTCAAACATCCATACACATCGAACACCATTTGCTACCAATACTACCGCAGCGAAAAGAATGTTTTCTCTTTCTCAGGGTATCTTAATGAAATAAATTCTACGAACATACCTGGAGAACATATCCAGAATATTCGGACAATACATACTATGATCATTCCTGAAGAACATTCATAGATTATAATGGAATATTCTAGGAACTTCCAGAACATCCTCATCATATTGTATGAATATTGTTTGGAACGTTGTGAAAACATTCGTAGAATATTCTGTACATGCTATCTGGGACTCAATTTCACAACCTTCAAATATATTCAGATGATATTTTATAAATCAATACAATAGGTGCCTCTTATTGGCAATCTGAATATTTGATACTTCCAAAATTTAGATCAGAAAAGTAGAAATATACATAGTGTGTCAACCAATGCGAAATTTGACGTTATTTGATAGTTTATAATTTCATCCTTAACCGTTCAAAAGCTACATGGTTGGATTTGGTCCCGTTATACTCAGGAAAGGAATATTTTTCGAAAAATTCTCTGTCTGGCATCAGAGCATTTCTTTCAGTTGTTTACCGATTACCAGATAACTATAGGAAAGAGTAGGAGTTTTGGGTCATTATTCTTATTGTATATAAAACTCAGCCTAGAAACAATAAATCTATTAGATATTCGACCTAATGAAATGAAATACATTCTAAAAATATAGATAGTCAGTCATCACAGCATTCGTTGTGGCAACGGTTCAATATATACAGTGCGGAAACATTTACCAAAAAATTGTAAAATATATACCTGAGTAATTTGTAATTGGTACAATAGAGAGCTATTACTAACCTTATACATACACTGAAACAGTGACAGTGGAATTGTGATTTACTTTCCAATAATTATTGAATGATAATTTTCAATAGAGTAATCATTGATGGAAATTTGAACATTTACAAATTATTTTAAGAAACATTAGGTACACAGCATTGATGCTATATATTCAAAGTGGATTTGTGTAGATATACAGGGTGTTTCTTGAGTACGTGTCAAAAATTCAGGAGCATGATGTCGACGTCGAAATTTGAAGAAAAATTCGTATAAATATACATATGTCCACAAGTGTTGTATTTGGGAAGATTATTTTTCCACCACTTTGATGAAAAAAGGAACTGTATTCGAAAGAAATGAAATATCATTTTTGTGTTATCAAGTTGAACGACGATTAAAAAAGTTACGTTTAGTTCTTTCCGACAATTGATTACTGACTTCATTATGATGATTACTTACACATACAATAGGTCGGAAGAAACAAAATGGCGGACACTGGTAAGTCAGATTGATTTCGACATTTCAATGTAAACAATGTTTTATCCAGGACCATATGCCGTGTTATCAGTATGATACTGAATGATTGACTTGAATTACGCATTGCTATTGGTCGAAACAAATGTCACGATTAGACATTTGAAGAAAAAAATTATCAGAGTACTTAATAATTGTTGGATTCGAAATGCTTCTGCGTTCTGAAATGGTTATTATGTCGAGCCTTAGCATTTTGTATTCTTAAGCGCAAAATAATCATTTCGCATGCTAAAAAACGCCCCGTTACTTTCGCGTCAACATGTTTTCCTAATCATATACAAACTCAAATATCTTGAGAACGGTTGAATTCTCCGTATTTTGATAGGAGTACCTTTTTATGTAATTTTTTCGCCAAAAATAATACAGGGGAAAAAGTTGTCTTCAAAAAATCATGACCTACCCTCTAAAAAACCCTTTATAGCTATTGAAGAAATGTAGAAGTGTATCCGAAAGATGTATTTCATCAACATAAATTCATGCAGGAAATTTCAATTTGGTGGCTTTTACCGTTCAGGAGTTATGCAGAAAAAATATTCTGTTCCAACTTTGGAAGGATTAGTTTATTTATCGAACTATACTTATTTTTCAATGTTTTATGACCTCCAGAAACCTCGGTACACATTTTTGTCGCAACCTGTACGATATAGTACTACTTTACACACTAGTTTTATGAACTATATTTAAATTGGAAACGGGTCTAAAAAACTCTATGTGAGTAAAAAAATCAAGGATCATATTTTGCGTACATTCAATTGTTTAATGTAGAAGACCATTCAATGCATGAAAAAAGATGAATGCATTGGTGAAATGTGAATCCAAAAGCCCTACGAAAATAATTCAAATCCAAATTACTCAAAGACCGTTGTTCGCAGTGACCTCTACTACACTGAAAAGGCATGTAGAGACAAACTAACATAAAATTTGATTTTTTAATTGAAAAATGCTTCGAGATACTCAACTTCACTGGACTATCACGATTATTCTATAATTTATTCACAAAAAACAAAAATGAGAATCAACTCTGCAGCTCAGAAACGATTAACTTGAGGATATTTATGTTTATACGAACTTTTATACTTTTGTTGACGCCAACAACATGCTGCAGAATTTTTTACAGCTACCTAAGAAACACCCTGTATACCCAGAAAAAATCAAAACGTCCATATCTTCAACATTTTGCATGGTTCTATATGGTTCTGTAGATTGTGTTGGTGATACTCAGTTCAATTAATTAAGTAATACAATCCTGTATATCTCTTTCTAATTGTGATTTCTAGCATTCTAGCAGCCGCATCAAAAACTTCATAGGCTTCATTTCGATATTAATTCTCATTGTTGAGAATATTAGTATCCAGAATTCCCACTTTGAGAGGACCAATTATTCAATGAATCAACAAAATATTTTGTTATTCTGAAGTGCCAAAAATGTTGCTACAGTAACAAGATATTTTGTCGTGGATACAGAACACAATTGTATGTTGCTTCAATGCGTCCTTTCTTGAATAGTCAAATGATGGTTTGGATTCTGAGAAAAACGATATTCATTTCTGTATGATACATACCTTTTTCCTATCGTGTCTTACCTGTCTTATATGATAATTAATTTTAAAAGGTTGGAAAACCTCAGATACCTACCTGGAAGTAATTTGAAATAAACGATTCGTACGTAATCTGCAATTCGCTGGAAAGAATAATGGATAGCACGCAAATATTAGAAATTTGAAGATATGGGTAATAATAATTAAATATAAAGTCGATATTAAACACCAGTGCGATAATTTTTATCAGTGAAATATATACTAGTATATATATCGTTGCTATATAACGAGATTCTTATTTTGGAAGAATTCAATACGTTAGTGTAACCCTTCACAAATCAAGGTAGGATTTAATAGGTTAGTCAATACTGTTGAAAAAATCTAGGAATTATAATATTTCTGCTTATCCTTTATATTCATGATTATCTCCATTTCAGTAATGAATCAAATTATGAATACTGTTTGTGAGGCAATCGAAGATGTGGAATACTCATTTTTCTAGAGTTTTGTGATTTAAATTCTTTCCTCGAATTTACAAATACGATAATAGGAGTATAATCTGAATATATGTTCATCACATAATTTGCTTCAAAACATCACTGCGTTCAAAATTTTCACTATCTGAACACCTCAGAAATAAATTCAATATTTCGTATTAATTTGTCTTTTTACCAGTAAATTGTACCTATAATAAGCATCTGTCAAACTAAATAGGTAATTGAACTTTGAAATGTTCAGTCACTGTCAACAACCACGTCATCGAGATAATTTGCAGGATAGAACTGTATACAATGTTGTTCTTCAATGTTTCCCCTCTTTTATTGCTTGAACGGGTCAACTGAAGAAATTGAAACTTTGCATAATAACATTATTTAATGCATGAATACTTCATTTTGGATTAACATTATTGATATATCAAAATTTCAAGATGGCGGCTGGGCGCCATCTCGGAAAAAAATTAAATGAAAAGAGGGGTGGTGTGATACATCCTTTTGAAGCTCCCGATGAACACCTCACGACCCTAGAATATGAGGTCAATATCTCCATCCACTACAAAATGACGGAGTCTTCATAATGCCTGGAGTACATCAACGTTCAACTTCATAATTCGATGAAATAATAAATGCTCGAAATGGTTGACTTGACCTTCCTGACATAAGAACAGCTCATCCAATATTGAAGCAGGTTCCGTTTCGTGCTCCTCTTGCTTCAAATAGCCCCATAAAAAAAGTCTAAAGGTGTCGAATCTGGCGAGCGGACTGACCATTCCGTGGGACCACGATCGTTACCACCGATACAACAAATCCAACGACCGGGAAAAGTATCAAAACAGTTTCTAACTTGTCTGGAGTGATGTGGTGGTGTTCCATCTTGTTGGAATACAATATCCATAATAATGTGTTTGTATTCAGGCAACCAGTAAATTTTCTGCCATTCTTTAGTTGGTGAAGATATTGACTTTATATTCTAGCGTCACAAGACTCCCCTTCCCATTCAATTTTTTTTAACCAGATGCGCCCAGTCACCATTTTGAAAGTTTCATCTCTCATTTTCCTCCAAAATACAGGGTGTTAACAAATAAGTGTCACAACGGAAAACTGTAGATTGCTCATAACAAAAGGAACATTTTTACCCTTTCGAAATTTTTTTCCGGGCTTCTGTTATCAAGACACAGGTCGTCAAAAAAATAGAAAAAAAATCTGGTTTTTGCTACTATCTCAGGAACCGTCTGAGCTACGGAGTTAGGCCTTCGTACACACTTCATCATCAATAATGACTACTTTTAGGGCTCTTGATCAATTTCCTTGGACATGTCAGTGGAGGAGAATTCAACATTAACCCCCCAAACATTAATGCCACTGGAGAAATTGTAATTTTCAAAGTAGATTCTGAGGCGCCAATATCTTTCAAAGTGAACAGTTTCCGAGAAAAATGGCTCTTTATGAATAAGGACATACAAAATCCTGATGGTATCTCCAAGAAACGTCTAAAAATCCACTGGAAATAAACACCCCAGATCTGTCTAATAATATGTTGAATCGAATGTTCTTGAGTATGCTGGTCTCGAAACTGATTTTCAAGTTGTTAAGTTCATCAAGTGTTGTAAAGTGTGTTTAATTAAACTGAACATTTTTGATTTTTTGACGCCCTGTATCTTGAAACAGGAAGCCCGGAGAAAAATTTTGAAAAGGAAAAGAAATGTTTTATTATGAGGAATCTACAGTTTTCTGTTGTGACACTTATTTATTAACACACTGTATAGTATTCATGTATCAATTTTATTATTCCAAGTTACAATTATTTTAGACGACCCGTTCAAAAAATGGAAGTGGGGATATATGTGCCCGTCTAAAGTCCGTTACCCCCCCACTAATTTTTGAACCACTTGGTATATCGCAACTAAATTTGAAGAGCTTCAATAGGAGATGAGAACCAACTTTTTTGTGAAAAAATCAATGCTAAAAGTTTCAAAATGGCGGCTGAGCGCCATCTTCAATTGTTTTTTCAAATAGAACACCCCGTATATTATTCCACAGTTTTCCCTAATACATTTCACTCCTGAATTCAATTGTTTTCGAAATATTGACGTTTTAAAGGTGACATTTCGGTATGAAATGAAGTATAGATTCTGGTCACTTCTTGTGAAACATTTATCGACTAATAAAAGACGTAAAGAGAGTTTATTATATAAAGATAAACAGCAATCCGCTTATATACCGGAAAATTCCGAAGACTACGAATGTGTTCTGATGTAAATTCACAATCAAAACAAATTAGTTGGCTAAAAAATTATACATATTTTATTTTTGAATTATTTTCTCATTTAACAACAATTACCTCATCAAGGGTTCAAATTGGCGCCCTCCTAAATCTTGACAATAAAGTGCCCTATTATAAATAGCTTCTCTCACGTTGATGACAGTCTGTTCATCTATTTCTTCGCATGTATCCATTATTCTGCGTTCCAGCTCTTCTATTGTTTGGCATTCATTAGCGTAGATTCTTGACTTCAGATACTCCCAAGGGAAAAAATCTAGAGGTGTAAGATCCGGAGTTCTTGGTGGCCACTCTGTATACTTCCTCTGCGACCTATCCATCGCCCAGGAAAGTTAGTATCGAGGAAGTCTCTAGCCCTGCGATCGATATGGGGAGGTGCTCCATCTTGCTAAAATTTGATTTCGCGTTATTCAAACTATTGTTCAATAAAAAATTTGCCTTATACGAGGTTCAATTGATGATTGAGGCGGTCAACGGACTATTTGACAGTTACAGTTAATTTGACAGTAAACAAGACGTTACCAGACGATTTTCTCCAATGCAAACTTGATTGAAAGCAACATTAGTGTTTTTGGTTGAGTTTGAATTGAACAAAATTTCACCTTTCAAACTTTAATATTCCGAAAAAAATCAGATTCAGGAGTGACGTGTATTAGAGAAAACTGTAAAGAATTATGAGCAAATTTCGAAAATCGAATAATATACGGGGTGTTCTATTTAAAAAAAATATTGCAGATGGCTCTTAGCCGCCATTTTGAAACCTTTGGCGTTAATTTTTTCATGAAAAAAAAGTAGGTTTTTATGTCCCATTGAGGCCCTCCAAATTTTGTTGCGATATACCAGGTGGTTGAAAAATTAGTAGGGGGGAACGAACGGGAGAAAGCACTATACAAAACTGCAAAATAGAAAAAAAAACGTTATGTGTATTTTTAATCGTCGTGCACCTCAGAACTGTTAACTCGTTTTGTTATTCTACGTTGTGGTTGATTAATTTCAAGAATCGTTAGAATGTTTTCCATGAATATGGAAAACCTTCGCAGTGCAGTTATTTTAATTTTTGTTATTTCAGTACAGGTGAAATGTCTTATCGGGACCAATGAGGCATGTCTACTTATACCCAGCCTCATTATTACCAAGTATTCATAATCACCAGCTAATGGCTGAATAATTATTGTTAAAATTGCGCCATTCTTTTCGACTCACCTGTCATATAATAACAGTATCTCAGGTTTTGCCATTCAGAAAAAATTTGATACTTCGATAAAAAACATCCATCATATATACAAGACTTTTCCACATTTCGTGAGTTTAACCAGTGAGGTAACAAAATATTTACGTACTTATTTGTTATTGTTATATAAGACTCAGGGAGCAGCACATCAACAACATAATCTGCTTTCATTTCACCTTGACATAATCTGATTCTGTGGCGAGACCTAGTAGAATATCATTATTATCATCAAGTTTAGTGTAGTCGCAGTATTTTGCACAGCTCATTTGTTATAGTTATTTATTTTCTAGCTCCAAGATGTTCAAATTTGCGGTGTTAGCTGCCCTTATTACAATTACGTATGCTCAGGTAAGTATTTTTGGTACACTTAGTTTCCACGATATCGGTTAAGTATAACGCGGAGATAGGGTACTATCGGTAATAAATGGGTATTAGAGTGTAATTGGTTTAACTGGCAATAAACTTGAAATGGTTATAGATTTCTGTTCGAAACGTAAAAATTAAGTACAGTCATAGTCGCAGAGCATGTCCTTCTTCTGGCTTGTATCACATGAATGTTTAAGGACTGAGCTATAACTGTGAACATTCATGTCGTTCGACATTGCCACGTGCTTTTTTTTACAAAAAACAAATAACACAAAAAAAATACCTTGGAGAACGGATGCGAAATAGCACGAGCAGGATTGCTCCGGAACTCAGTCGGGTATAGGGTGGGTTTAACCAGAACACACCGTATAATCGATGAATAAATAATTACATAAATGGGCGCCACCAACTTACAAAAGCGAGTTTAAATTGGAAAACTCCCCAGGTCTCCTAGGTTCCGTTCTGCAGATAAGAATAACAACAAAAAAAAAACGTAATCAACTGGATGACTGCTATTACTGATTGAAATAGCATATAATAATCTGATACCGCTTACCTATCACAATTCTCGAATGGACTAAGTTCAAGATATGATAAACTGCATAAAAGTTAACACACTGTATACCAAGAAGCTTCAAAAGTTAGATATGAAATAATATTGTGTACCAGGTTATCCCAGAAAATTGTAAGTTTATTATAATATGCATATAGGGAGATCATGACAAAATATTATATTTTTATCAGTTAGTTATCTTATATAACTGTTTGGCTTTAGTGTTATACCCCGACGTGATCACGTGTGAGTGTACACTGTACACTTTTGCATTTGTCACTCATCAAATTCATCTATACCTTATGAATATACAACTGTTATATCGTTCATGGATAATGAGATTAATTTCCAACATATGATTAAAAAAAAAACAATAATAATAGTAAACACACCCCATAAACAGTATCTGGCTAGCAATAGGAGGTACTAATCGCAAGGCCCTAAACGACCCCAAGAAATGAGGGTAAATAAATGTAAATATATCAAATAAAATCATGCAGCTTATCTGAAATTCCGGTCGATTAGGTCAGCAATCTGGTAAATGTTCCATATATAGCATACTGCAGCTTTTCTCCTCAGTATCAGATTATTGCATACAAAATGATGACTACCACACAGAATCTTGGTACTTGGGAAGCCCAAACGGGATGGTATACGATAAACATGCACAGCAGACAGGGAAGCAGAGCAGAAGAAACAGCAGTTACGTCATGGGCTGGTGACGTCACGGGTTACGTTTGCCGGTAACCAGAAGCAACAAAAAATTGATGAGTCTGGTACAAGGACCCTATAATGGATATTTCATTTAGTAAATAGTTCAACTCACCAAGCTCTCATGATTTTATCTACCTCTTTAGATGTTTGAGGGTATTTAAATTCGAATCTGGAACTGATATTCAAGTGTAGCACATGCCGGAAATGCACAAATCCTCCATGTAGGAGTCAATTCCATCACTATGACCACAAAAACGTGACAAAAACGATAGGTGATGAATTGAATAATCAATAAGTGCCGATATATCCACATGAAGTGTAAATTATAAGTTCAAACTAAAATAACTCAATAATTAAAAAAATTACGGGCACTGATGACTAGCAATCCGACATCTTGTGTCTAGTTTAACCGTTTCCCCCTGGGGGCCTCATGAGAGAAGGTAGATCTCCTATTTACTTCTCTCTCATATCCTGAACAAATATTCCATTAGGAAAAACTGGTGACATTTTTGAAAAGGCAAACCTTTCTCGATCCTGAACGAAGACCTACGACCCTGGTCTACTCATACCATACCATGTTTCTCATGCCCAGAGTCTATGATCACCGTGATCTGTCCCTCTCAGATAACTATATCAAACGAAGACACACATAATTCATTTTAGATGCCAACCTTAGCTGTGGGCCTGCTTCAGGTGAAATGAGCGAGAAGTGGAAGACCTCAAATCAGGTGACATCGCGTCTCACGAAATATACGTTTATAAACAAAACAACAACAATCAAGCAATCCTGAAAAATAATGGGTAAGTGATCTATTATCACTATATTATATTTACTAATCCTTAACCGATTCTTATTATACTAAACTATCATCAAACTATTCCTGTAATTTAATAAACATATCTTTATTTCAGGTACGATCTCTCCTGCAGACGAGCAACAGGTTCACCAGCACTTCGGACTAGGAAGTCATCAATGAATTGTGTTAAGTGCAGTGAAATAAAATGAGTGTTGTGTTATCCAGTGCGAATTTGGAATAAATGCATCGAGAACGTACCCTGTTCTTTATTACATATGTAAGTAATATTTCATAAATACTAGAATAAAACGGTGTTATCAATTATCCACAAACAAGAATGACCACTTGACCAGGTAGTGCTAAATATTATGATAAAAATACAATTGAAAAATGAAACGTTACAACATGTTCTCTGAATAAACCCATACGTTTTTAAACTCGTTGAAATCTAGATTACCTACCTACTTTTTGTGTGAAAAAATATACAGTGTGTCCTAGGGAAAACTTGTCACACCCCTGGGGTGGCTTATATCACAAGAAATTTGTATTTTATAATTCGATAGAACTCACCCAAAAAACTAACTCACCACCGCAAACCGTTTCTTGCTGTGCGCTCCCTACGGTTTATAAAAAATTATTGAAATCTCCGATTTTTCGGACCTCTGAAAACGAGGCGATGATGTGACGTCGAAACCCTAATACTGAAACAAGACTATTCCAGACAGAGATGAATGATACATGATTTCTGACAGAGAGAATTAGCTCGAGATCACAGTTGAAAGAATTAATATATCAGTTGCTTCATTCTCCGTCGGGCGTTTGGTATTTTCTTTTAACTATGGCGAGATGAGGTTTCTACGACATAAGAGGGTCCGTTTTCAGAAGGTACTATTATTTATGTCCAAAAATAAAACATTCCAGATAATTTTGCGATCGAATTATGTCATCAATCATTATTTTTGTATAAAAGGATCATTATAAACATGGTTTGAGTTAAAAGTTCTCACGCCCATTATCAAATTCCAAAGTTGAAATCTTGAAGCGTAACGGGCATCAACTCTCGATTTTCAAATGGAGCACCCTGTATTCCATTGCTTTTCTAGATTCTCCCTGAAGTGCTGCTTTCATCAATGTATCACACTTGGTGTCTAGCGGGAATGATTACAGAAATATAGGGTGTTCAAAATCGAGATTTTTTACCTTTAGGATTTTTTTGTAACTATTAATTATTGGTCGAAACGGCTTTTATGTCCCTATCTTAACTTTTGATTTACCATCTACTGATATCAATTTGAATGAATACAGGGTGGATCATAATTCGAAATTTTGAACTACCCTGTATTCGTCTAAAATAAATATCAGTAGATAGTGATTCAAAAGTTAAGATGGGGACATGTGAGTCGTTCTGACCAATAATGAATAGTTTCGACACAAAAAAATACTCAAGTTAAAAAATCTCGATTTCAAACACCCTATATCTCTGTAATCATTCACGCTAGACACCAAGTGTGATACATTGATAAAAGCAGCTCTTCAGAAAGAATCAAAAAATGCAATGAAATACAGGGTGCTCTAATTGAAAGTTGATGCCCGTTACGCTTCAAGATTTCAACTTTGGAATATGCAGAAAAATGTGTCTTCCGCCAAATTGAAATCGACGTGTCCGAGCGATTTTCAATTTTTTTAACGACATCGGAGATTTGGGGGTGAGAAGTTTTAGCTGGGACACACTATAATGTAATCAGCCTGTACTTCGTATATTTGGCATATATAATTGAAATAAAAATGAGTAGTGATGCGACATGTTGAAGAGAAGTGTTTGATAGGGTCAGATGTATTGAATTTTTGGTGTGCGGAATTATATCTATATTCAGATAAAACTGTCGATTTCAGATATATGTATATAGTGATTTGAGATATAAGAACATCTTCATTGACTAAACCTTTCACATTTGTCATAAAAGGTGTGATTTTGAGAATCTTCATCCACTTTCACTGTTCCGATTTGTTTGAATATTGTTTGTTTTTCAATTTTAACCAATCAGGTGCTCACATTTTGACATGTTGCTATGACGACAGCTTATTCTTTCTTCCGGAAATATTCAGATCCAAGAACGGCTTAGTTCCAGATCAATATTAAGTGGAATTTTCCTTAGCTTGATTTGCCTTGACAGCTCTCAATATGTCCAAATAGTTCTGACGTGAAATTATTGTGTCGAATCATCTTCGAGCTTGAATTGAACATGCTGAAATTTTCGTCAGATACAATTTTTTCATGAGCGGAGATTGTATACCCCTGATTTTTCGCATTTAGAAGTTTTGTCATAAAACAGATTGCAGTCAACAACGGATACAAGGTTAATTTGATAGACAGTATTCTCTCAGAGAAACTGCATAATAAAGCTATTCAAGAAGTTTATCCTACCATCAAGGATAATAATCAAAATTATAGAACTTCAACCTATTTCGGATCACCAACTGAGAAATTAGCTTCATTTCTACATAACCAGGACTTAAAAGTAGCATATAGACCAAATAACACGTTGGGAAGGTTTATCAAAAATAATAAAGACATAACTTCTAAATTCGAGAAAACACAGGTATACTAACGCAACTGTGGATCTTGTCCTGAAGTATATATCGGTCAGACAGGTCGTACGTTTGATTAGCGTATTCATGAGCATAAGATGATTTTTTTGAGGAAGAAAACAAATTCAACACACGCCATCGACCACATACTAGAAGAAAACCATAGTTTCGGTGATGATTTCGAAATTCTTCACGTAGAAAATAAAGGAATGAAACTCAATCATTTTGAATCATTAGAAACAACAAACTCAAAAATTCTGACATTTCACTTAACGATCAATTAGACCTCAATAGTTCACCACTGTTGAATTTGTTTTCTTAGTCGTCTCTTAGTTGGTAATAATATGTATATTTGCTATCAAGCCTTTCAATGTTGATATTGTGTCTAATTTCCGAAAATGAAGGTATATCGAACCTGTCCACAGGTAACTCATCCTTCAGGTTGGGAAAGTGGGATATATGAAAGTTAAGCAAGCCAAGGTTAGTTTAGTTCATTGTACCAGTATATCACCTGACGAAGCTACTGTGTTAGCGAAACATGTCGTGTGGTTGAGAATTTTGTGGAAATCTTATCGTTTGTGAAGTTTTTACATACAGGGTGATCCAAAAGTAAGCGGTATCCTTTCAGGGACGTATTCCTTGCATGAAAATAAGGCAAAAAGGTCCTGTCGATAAGGGTCCGAAAATGATTGTCAAGGGAGCTACGTCCGAGGCTACGTCTCTTCGAATAGGACACCTCAAAGACGCTTTTTTCTCTATAACTTCGAAATCCTTCACAATAATTGTTCGAAAAATGGTGTACGGCATAAAAATTTTATGGTAAATAAGACTGAATTCAAAATTTCGGAATTTTACTCAGAGGCGTCACGTGTAAAAATATACCTTCTTATTTTGATATTCAGGTTATTGTGATTTACTCGAATCAGAAGGTGTCAGTAACAGTCAGAGTCGATTTTCTTCTAAATGGTACGCTCTATCGAATAGAACTAAAAGAGTACGTTTTTCACGTGGAAAATTTTAGAATTTTATAATTTTCTAACGAAATCACAATGACCTGAATATCAAAGGAAGACGGGATGTTTTTACACTTACCTTCCCCCGGATGTGACGCCCCTGAATGAAGTTTTGAAATTTTGAATTCGAAGTCTTGTTTAACATCAGATGTTCATGCCGTACACGAATTTTCGAAAATTTATTGTGAAGTATTTTGAAGTTATCGAGAAAAATTCGTCTTTGAGGTGTACTATTCAAAGGGGCGTAGCTCCCTTGGGATGCATTTTTGTTATCAGAAACTTTCTGCTTTATTTTCATGGCAGGAATACGCCTCTGAAAGGATGCCGCTTACTTTTGAATCACCCTGTATATAAAATGGAATGAACCATATTTCAATGAAAAAGGTACTATTTTCGCAACAGTTGAAAGTGGGTAGCGCCATCAATAAAAAAGCATAGGCCCCTAATCACTATAATTGGATATTTACGATAATCCCACCCTTGACCTGATTTTTTAACCGATTTTTGTAGCGCAGCGCAGTCGTCTATCTATTCGACCCTTCTGGAGCCAGTGGGGTGCACGGTAACCTCACTTTCGAACAAAGGGACTCGCAGATCCAGATATCCGGAGAAGTACACGGTCTCACGCCTGGAAAGCATGGCTTCCACGTTCACCAGTTGGGCAACATCGGACTAGGATGTCTGGGCACTGGGGGACATTTCAACCCTCATAATGTGAGTAGTAGCGTTACCATCGAGACAATAAGGCCTGCATGTTCCGTGGTGACGTCACCTTACTGAGGCCTAACCAGCGGCTCGAAACGACAAGCGCTTATGGCTCTATAGGGCGACCACGTATTTCAATTTTGGTTTTAGATCATTATTGAGCCGATTTTGCTGTTTTTTTGAAGGGCTTTCGGACTAGATGCCAGTCGTCAACTGAGCCCTTCTTCGCATCCCATTCGATTTTGTTGGATTTTTTGCCCAATTGATCGTTTGACTTGAAACACTAATTTTTAAAAAACAAAAGAATTTGGGACCGCTTCATAAAAAATCATACGTGAATCACCGAACATGGATTAATACGAACTGACGCGTTAGTCGACGAGCGGTAAAACACTGGCCTCTCTTAGGTGACGTCACGAGCTTTTCACGTCAGAATCTGCTGGCCTTCTTATCTCGATGGTAACGGTAGTAGGCAGATACAATCAATCAATCAAAATAGTTATTCTTGTATCTAGTGCGCGAAATGCTACTTTGGTGATCGAGATCCGATTTTGGCGGTATCAAATCATTCTCCACTAATTGTGACATTCCCCATTCTCCCCTGTGGTTTTCAAATTATAACATAAAATTCTCAGCTGGTTTCAATCATACTTATCAAATCATAACCAAATTGTAAAAACTACGAAGTATTCATCTAAGCAAGCCGTCAGATACGGTGTCATTCAAGGTTCAGTTCTTGACCCAAACTCTGTTCCTGCTATATATAAACGATCTAACCGCTGTGGATATAACAGGCAACTCATTTTATGTGACATTCCCCCTATTTCCCCTGTATTCTGCTTCTCAAGTTATTAGTAGGTTAGAAGAAAGCATGAAAACATTCAGTTTGCAGCTATATAATGATGCATAAATATTGCATGAAATACCGAAAATCCACCAATTTTTCACTAGAATTGCACCATAGCAATATGGAAAACCGCAATAAAATAGCTCAGAATTCATATATTTCCTGCAATACAACGAAATAGTGCGACAGCTGTCAAAAATGACATTAGTGTAGTCGCACAATGGAAATTGTTGCATTTTTTTGTAAAATTGTGAACTATAGCGTAACTTATAATTTCAACTGTTTGTCAATTTTCTTGTTGTGGTTAATTCCACAATTTTTTTTCGATGAATCTAATCTGAAAAATGTATCTGTCGTTATCCTCTAGGGGAGAGGAGGTAATCACCTCTCTAATCCCCCTTAGAACCGCCCTTGTCTAAAGTTAATATTCAACAATATCGTCTCCACAACTTCTTTATTAGGCGCATGGTATGATATGAAGTTCTAGTCATGTTGTAGCCATCTAGAGGCAAAGCTCTAAGGTAGAATCAAGAGATCGCGATACACACTGTATGGCGCTGCCATCTATAGTCACACGTACAGACCCTTTCGTCTATACGCTACAGAGTGGTACTACAAGTAAACAACTCTGCTGATAGATGGCACTACCTGACATATACTTGAGTGGACTTCTCCACCGACCTATTAAACTGCTAGATCTCATAACTAAGAGATCCAGGATGATATTTTCATTAGGTAAACAGTGTTACTAATGAGACATGTTCCAATTTCTTCAGTACCAAACCATACTGTTTACTTAATGAAGGAAATGAAATTGTTGAAAATTGTAGTCAGACCCCATTACTTATTCACTCCGAGAAAAATATAAACTTCTATACCAGACATTGAAAAAGGTAATATATCACGTTTGGACAGGACGAAATTCATACAGTCTTCTCCACCAAAAAGATACTTTATTGTAAGCAAACTTACGGGAACATGTTTCGAAGCTTTAAAGCTCCATCATCAGCGTTTTTGTTACATAGGAGCACTAAAGTGAGAGAAAAACAAAGAAAAATGTCAGACAAACCCCTCAACAACGATAGGTCTTAAAAACTCACCTGTTCTAGAGGAAAAAAGTTATGTTCACATACTTGACAAAATTATTGGAAAATGTTTTAGAAAACTAATACATGATAATGAAGCTAAATGGGGAACCCCTTTGTTAGGGAACTTTGAATTTCATAATTATAAGAATAGGTACGATTCAGATGAAAATTGAAAAAGTCTTATCTGTTCATGCCGAACTCTTAAAATGACATGAAAACAGAAAAATGAGCGGTCAAAAATCAAACGAATGGCATGACTTTGACATGAAGTGACAGAGGTGACGTGGAACATCGAATAGACTAGAGATGGTGGAGAATGTAATGATTTCAAGATGGGAGCAATAACGAATTTATGGTTGGTGAAACTTAAGATCAACTTTAGGAATTGAATCAGATGGAAATGAATAATTTCGATTTTTGAGTTTTGATAAATGTAAGACAAGTTGATTTTTATACTCTTTTGACGAAAGAGTAGGAATTTGAGATTCAAATTTGGATTGGAGAAATGTTTTTCGTTGACTATATGTGATTAGCGAATACAGAATTGGTATTTATGAAATCTTTTTCAAAATTGATATCCATGATACTTACATGTTCTGTGATTCTAGTTCTGAAGTTGCGATCTGTCTGACCAATATAACATACCTTACAATTGGGTCCAGAGCATGGCAATAAGTTGACGCCAGATTCATCATGATCAGGTATTGGGTCCTTAGTATTGACTGATGAACTTCTTAGGTTGTTTGAGGTTTTGAAGGAGAAAGTATGAGATAGGTGGTATTGTTGTTATTAAGTTTTTTATTGGAAATGTCTTTAATTTTCAGTGGAACAGGGCCAGAATAAGTTATAGAGGAAAATTTGGTTATAGGCGGTCAATGATTGATAAAAAAAATGTTCGAGAATTTATTATTTGATCGTTGTTGGGTGGTGTGTCTGAAATTGTTCTTTGTTTTTTTCTCATTTTAGGGCTCCTATGTAACAAAAAAGCTGATAATGAAGCTTTGAAGCTTCGAAACATGTCTCCGTAAGATTGCTTACAATAATAGTTATTCATTATACAAGGGAAAAAAGTAGTAGATATTAGCTCCATGTTGTGTTGTCTCCCGATGCGTAGCGGAGGGAGACAAAAAACCGTGAGCTAAAATCTAATATTTTTCTCTTGTATAATAAACAATTTTTTTCTGTGACAGAAGAAAGGACGAATCAATATTGAGAAGATATTACATTATTTTGAAATCTGAAAATTATCGACGTGAAATTTAATTTTAACAGTAGGGACACCTGCGTTGTCGTTGTAGGAATCTCTATCATTCTTTTGAAGTAATCAAATATCTGATGTCACTTCTGTCAGTCAATTATGTGATTTGATTTAAAAAAATTGCGAATTTAGTGGTAGTAGTAATATACGTAACCGCGAAGTCGAATGGAAGATAAAAGGACTTGCAGTTCTTTCTCGGAGACGGTATTATTGACTCATTTTTCTGAACTATAGCACAACAAAAGCCATCAACAGTGTGAAAAAAGTACTTCATGGAAAGTGACATTTTATAACCTGCCAACAGAGATGAAATGCCAAACTGTTTTCCCGTGACAGGAAAAAGTATATTTTTGGTGGAGTAGACTGTATGAATTTAGTCCTGTCCTATTGCCTTCGTTCCACTGTAAGATGTATCGCCTCAGATATATCACGTTGTTTTTTGTTCTTTAGAAGCACCATGGAGCTCCCACTGACAAAGAACGTCACGTCGGTGACCTTGGAAACATCGTAGCCGACGCAACAGGTGTCGCGCACGTCCACATCGAAGATGACGTCATCGCTCTACAGGGCAACCACAACATCATCGGCAGGGCCATGGTTGTTCACGCAGGGGAAGATGACTTGGGCAGGGGTGGACAATCGGACTCGCTGACCACCGGCCATGCAGGGGGTCGTTTGGCTTGCGGGGTCATCGGCATCCTGACAGAGTAAATACGCGTTCTGGCTTGTGTGTTTGTTGAATTCTTGTTAATAATAGTTATTTATTATACAAGGGAAAAAAGTAGTGGATTTTAGCTTCAGGTTGTGTTGTCTCCCGACGCGTAGCGGAGGGAGACAAAAAACCGTGAGCTAAAATCTAATATTTTTCCCGTGTATAATACACTATTTTTTTCTGTGACAGAAGGAAGGACGAATCAATATTGGCAAGATATTACATTATTTCGAAATCTGAAAATTATCGACGTGAAATTTCAAGTTTTTAACAGTAGGGACACCTGCGTTTTATAGACATCTTCATCATTCTTTTGAAGTAATCAAATATCTGATGTCACTTCTGTCAGTTCAATTCTGTGATTTGATTTTAAAAAATTGCGAATTCAGTAGTTGTTTAGTAATATACGAAACCGCGAAGTCGAATGGAAGATAAAAAGACTTGCAGTTCTTTCTCGGAGACGGTATTATTGACTTATTTTTCGGAACTATAGCACAACAAAAGCCATTAACAGAGTATATATATGTGATATATATCCGGGAAAGAAGTACTCACTTTTTTCCCACGGGAAAAAAGTAATTTATGAAAAGTGACATTTTATAACCTGCCAACAGAGATGAAATGCCAAACTTTTTTCCCGTCACAGAAAAAACGATTTTTGATAAGTGATATTTTGAACTAGGATCTCTGTACCTCGTGTTTTATTGTTGGTATATTTCTGTAGAAAGGAAGCAACGCATCTTAGATATTGTTCGCTCAATCGTTACATAGGTCGTAGGTCGCCAGAACCGGATTATGAGAAAAAACTGGTACAGTCAGTGTTGCCAGGTATTATAAACTTTCATGCGCCTGATTTGACAATAAAATGCGCCATTAAAGCGCCACCTCCCAGAAAAGGAAGAAAATGAGGAAAATGCTGACTCGGGCTATATTCCGAATTCAACTGGTCAGTACTATCGGTAAATCCATGTTACCTAACCTAACCTAACCATGCCTTTAAGGACGCGGGGTTATCGGCATCCTGACAGAGTAAATACGCATTCTGGCTTGTGTGTTTGTTGAATTCTTGTTAATAATCGATTTTGGGTAAGTGATCTTTCGAAGTCGGATCTCTGTACCCAGTGTTTTATTGTTGACACACTTCTGTAGAAAGGAAGCAGCGCTATGTTCTCTGCTAGCTAGTTTTCTCTCAAACAGGTCTCTCCATGTAGTGGTCGACGGAGTTTCATCTGACTCTCTTATCATAAATGCTGATGTTCCGCAAGAATCAATTCTAGCACCAACACTATTACTACTCCATATCAACGATTTGTTGGAAGCAACTTCATGTCCAGTACACAGCTTCGTCTATGATAGTACCCTCCATACCGCCTTCCCTTCCAAGGCTCCAATACCAGCCAGGCAAATCATAAACGAACGAGGGAGAAATGTTGATCCAATAACTTGGTAGATTTCAATGCAAACAAAACACAAGCAGGCCTTTTCTCCAGAAAAGCCAATCTCACTGTGCCCAACATAAGCTTGTCAGGAGTAACCATACATTTGAAGACATCGCGTGGTCATCGGCATCCTGGCAGAGTGAATACGCATTCTGGCTTGTGTGTTTGTTGAATTCTTGTTGATAAACGATTTTGGATAAGTGATATTTCGAAGTCGGAACTCTGTACCTCGTGTTTTATTGTTGATATACTTCTGTAGAATGGAAACAACGCATCCTACATATTTTTTGCCCAATCCTTAGGTCGTAGGTCGTCAGTGCCGGATTATGAGAAAAAACTGGAACACGTCAAGTACATTTTTGAGGAGGGCATCGTTCTGAAATATTTTCAGCGCTGCGGTGTTACTGCTTTTATCGGAAAGTAACAACAACTCTGTTATTTTAAATGGAACACCCTGTATTTATTCGCAAAACCAGATTCTCCCTGAAGAGCTGATTCCATCAATGCATCTTCTTCTTCTTGCGGAAATGATTACAGAGATATAGGGTGTTCAAAAATGAGATTTTTCAACTTTAGGATTTTTTCGTGTCGAAACTATTTATTATCAGTAAAACGACTTTCATGCTCTTATGTTAACTTGTGATTCAATATCTTGAACTACCCTGTTTTTGTTTCAATTTATTGTCAGTAGATAGTTAATCAAAAGTTAAGATAGGGACCGTTTCGATCGATAAAGAGTAGCTTCGACAAAAACCTTACGTTGAAAAATATTGATATTGCACACACTATCGGCAATCGTACATCTCCGCTGAAATATCTGAACAAAATGAAAAACAGAAATTCATAATATCTAGTTTAGGTTAGGTTGGGTTGGGTTTAAACGTGAGTGGGCCCATGTCAGGCCATCCACTGCGGCCAATGGTCTATTGTGGCTCACCCTATGGTTATATTTTTCCCAGTATATATAATCTCTTGACGAAATTGAGGATTACATTGGGAGAACAATTTTCCAGGTTTCCTGGCCCTACACGGAAAAAAAGGAATTGTTGAATCAAGCAAAATTTAATTGAATGGAGCGAATAAAAGTGTCATATATGCACGACAAAATATAATCTTGAAATGAGTAAATCTATATCTTGTTTCAGAGCGAATTTGAAGTTTGAATCGAGTAAATATGTCTTGCATGAACTCTGGATCTCCTTCGATCAAGCACATCCATGAATTGTTTATGAAGAGATATTGAATTGGCTCAAACAATCATTTTGTTTGATTCAAAATAACAAGATATTGATTCAATCAAATATTTAGTTGATTCAACGAAATATTTGGTTGATTCAAAAAAATATTTGGTTGATTCAATAAAATATTTGGTTGATTCAATTAAATATTTGGTTGATACAATGAAATATTTTGTTGATTCAAGAGAAACTATATATCCATTCGACAAATTGTTTTGTTGAACCAAATCCAATATTCGGAAATTTTCTGAAATTTCACATCAATAGAATAAACAAAACTATGAAACTAGTCGACTCCCAGCATAGATCTCAAGTCTTTACATCTCCTTAGCTGATGGAAAACTATTTCGGATTGCTAATCATCCTAAGTTCGATTTATCCAGCTGATATTTCCAACACGAAGAATCAGGCTTCACGTATATAATGAATTCGAGGCAGGCATAGACGAGGCGAAATGATCGCCATCTAGAGGCGAAAATTTAAGTTGATGTAGACTGAACAAAATATTTAATTGATTTTGCATATTTCGTTGCTCTATTCAAGCAAAGGATCCGTTCGAAATCAGTTTATTGCTACATCGGAATGAGAAAACTTGTATGTTGTTTCAAAGATATAATCTCATCAAAATGATCATTGTTTGATCAAATATCAAATTAACGAAATGTTTATAGTTGAATCAACATCGACATTATTTTGGATCGACATAATTTGTTTTTGAAGAAACCATATATTTTGTTGATGCAATTGATATTATACTGTTGATTCAATTACCCTACATTCTTGATTTGAATAAGCTGCTTCCATGGAATAATCATGTATCTGGTTGATTTAACAAGAAATTGCTCAGACCAACAAAAATAACTCAAGCATAAATAATTTGTTGATGCAACAAATCCTTTTTTTCCGTGTACTGTTGTATTGCCAAATGTTGAAAGTGTGGTTCTGGCCGCTGCAGGGCATGTATTATACATAAAATGTGTTTAGCCGTTTCATCCTCCTCCATGCATAGACGGCACTCTGCATCTTTGTGCATGTGGTGTTTGAGTTTGCAATGGCCAGTCAACAAACCTACTGAGTTCTAGTAGTTTGTCAGAGTCCTGTCTGTTCCTTGTACAAGCAATGAATGCTTTGGAATTGGCTAGCCCCGGTAGACTACGCCAATACTCGAGACTTTTGTTGTCGGCCCAGGATGTTATAACATTCTTGGCAGTGCTATATGCTATGCTCAATTGTCTAACGGTGAGCGTTGCTCTTCGTAACTGCCATGTTGCCAAATGCTATTCTTTCCTAATACTCTCGACTGGCCACAGTCAAATTCACTAAGAAGCCATGCTAGGAAATTTGGCATCTGCGCATCAACTGTTAGCAGTGGTCCAACTATTTGGGAATTGAATCACGAATGGTTGTTTCCACTCTTTCCATCACACTGTTTTCGTCCCAAATTTTGGCAGACTATAAAAACTTTCCATGGTGGTGAATTCAGGGAAAGATGACTTGACCAGAGGGTCGTTTGGATTGCAAGATTATCGGCATCCTGGCAGAATAAATACAAGTTCTGGCTTGTGTGTTTGTTGAATTCTTGTTAATAAAAGATTTCTGATAAGTGGTAATTTGAACTAGGATCTCTGTACCTCGTTTTTTATTGTTTATACTCCTATAGGAAAGCATCATGGCATACAAAAATTGTTAGACCTACCGTTCCACATAGGGCATGTGAATGGCAACATAGCAAGAGATTGATTCGGCTATCGAACGTCTCCGCCAGTCTCCGCTGAAATATCTGAACATAATAAAACCTGAAATTGATTATGTATTATGGCGTTGCTCTCCGTAACTGATATGTTGCCAATTATCATCCTTGATACTCCTTTATTTGAGGATTCGATGAACGATCTGTATAGGCGTAAGCACAGTTTACATTCGTTTGGCAACAGCCGAATTAAGTAAGCCGGCAACTGCGCGTCAGGTGTGAACATCAATGGTCCAACTATTTGAGAACTGAAATTATGGATCACGAATAATTGTTTGCACTCCTCAACATATTTTGACAGAATATGAATAAGATGTGGCTGTGCTCTCTCAGTTGGAGCTTATTCTTTCCAGTTTTCTAGAATATAGTTGGAAAGATTACATCAAAAACATCAATATCTAATAGTATGAAGCATATTATGAATGGAAGGCTCCAGGAAAATCAGCAGTTTTTCATTGGCCTTGTTTAAAGAAAGATCAACAGTTCAAAATGCGGTAGGTAGGCCAATATTCATAGCATTCCATCTACAATAGGAATTTTCCTTTTTTACCAACTTTTGAGACTCATCATCAGTTATGCTTACCTAAGTATAGGTGACTGTAACTAAAGTTTCCTAAAAAAAAAGTGCCATGCCAGATATGACAAAAAAATTACTCAATTAGTAAGTATAAACCATAATGTTGAAGAAGGTGAGAATATACAATGTAATTCATAATCTCGACATCATATGGGAAAACTTTTAATTACAATCTATTCAGATATTCGACCTGAGTGCTAAGTTCTGCTTCGAATAATATGAAAAATGGACTACTCTTCGGGGTCACGTTACTTTTGCTACTTGTTAAGAGGTACATTTCTTTAAATAAATCGCTCAAAATAGGCATATTTGTTTGAATTTTAAGAATGTTTACCAATGAAAGTTGTTTCAATCCCAATTTCACGGATGTTTCTCGAATTTGAATGATCTATAACAACTGTTAGTTTCTGAAATTTTTTCAATTTCTACGAAATGTCTGTGATATTGAAGTTAATTTACATTGTCAAAACTATTTCATTCTATATAGCAGTTTCATCATGCTACTAACTTTCAATCTCTACTTATCGCCAGATTTTCTTCAGAAAATAATAATCTCCGCTTATGTTTGATGCAGAGTTGACGTATCGTCTATCATTCAGGAGCGAAATTTATCTGAATTGATTTTATCAGTACTGAAACGATGCCAAAGTCATCTATCAGAATGTCATCAAACTATTTTATGTCTATAAGCAAAGTTTAGGACAATTTGTCGAAGTTACAATCAAAGAAATTAAAAAGTATCATGAAACAAAAGTTGCAATAGAACCTCCAAATTCAAGACGAATTAGAATAGAAACAATTTTTTTTGTGAACTTTTTTGAAATTCGAACAAATAACCCTATTATCAATGATTCATTTTGAAAAAAATTACTTTCGACATAATGTAGCGACTTCAAACGCATTTCAAAATGACGGATTATTGAAAGTTTTTCCCACATGCCAACTTTATGAATGACACTGTGAAGTGCAATAAAACTCGTCCCAAATCAATTACCTTCCTCAATAAATATCAAGGGAAAATGAAAATGAATTTTTTGAAGTTTCTTTCAACCTAATCTGAATACCACGAACTGCTGAGTAGCTGGGATCATTTATTTTGAACAACCTGTGTATCTTGATATAGTGCATTGGTACATTGGTGTCAACGCACTTGCGAAACTTTCATGCACTACTTTATATTTGTATAAACTGCGAAGTGAAACCTATTTTTGATATTTCATTTGCAATTTGAGATAATTCAACCTGTATTATATAAACAAATGTAGTAAGATATTACTAATCGACCAGCCCGAAATATAACAGAGATACGCGGTGCTTGAGCAATAACTATTCTACTGAACCAGTATTATCAATCCTGCAGACTGTGTTTGCCACATTCACAATAAGAAGAACTTTCATCCTGAACCTGAAAAGATCTTTATTCCGGCAAAGTTATTCCTAACCTGTATTAGAAGTGAACAAGTTGGGAGAGAGACAATTGAATGAGGGCTAACCATTCCAGTGTCACCAGTTGGCGTTATTACATAAAGCGTGAGGTCTATTTCAAAAGTCAAAAATCCCAAAAATTCGCCTGATAGCCCTGAAGGCTAAGGCATATTTTTCAGAAAGTCTCCTGAAAAATGATGAGGTATATGTGAACAAATTGGTTGGGAAAGACGAAGAAGGAAAACTCAAAGTCATCTCAATCTAACAACGGCGGAAGATGGATAAGAATATATAAGGCTGAAACATGTCCTATCAATTGATTGACATCAGTAATAAAGCAATGGGGAGGATTTTGAGCTTTCCTTCTTCGTTTTGAAAGATTTCACTCCACTTCGAGCAAACATGGACTTCCACCAGAGATTAAATGGGTTGAACTTGAACAGTTTTGCGTTTACAACTCCCATTGTGGAACTTCACACGCAGTTTTTCAATTTACAGAGAAAATGATATCGCAGGAAGTAATCAAATGAAACGAACCCTGCCTTAATCTCTCAATGGCGCGATCTGGTGGACAATCGAATACTTTAGTCCTCATTGACCGTTGCATTTTTAACAAACTTTTTTTTATGTGTAGGTCTGCTTCAGGGAAATCATCTTTCTGTCCGACCCTACTGGCCACATCAGTATTGGTATTCATCCTTTCGAAATTGTATTATTAGTAGTTTTTGTATTGAAAACAGTATTAGAAAGGTGCTGTACTTATATTTATTATAATTGTACTCTTTTCACTCTATTAAACTATCGATTTTATCGATAAACTGATATCCTTCATTTAGTTTTAATAAAATGATTACCTGCTATTCGTCTTTCGATCTTATTCAAAGGATGTTTCGATTTAAAATGAACTTTGCCAAAAATCAACGAATCTTTTGTGTTTATCATACAAATATGAAGTCTGTTTTACAACCAAACACCCTGTATTTATATATTTTTTTCTTATGATTTCTAGTCAAAGATGGATTGGAGAAGTCAAGACAGACTAAGTCATCTCCACAAATCAATTCTCAGAAATAGATATTTTTATAAAGATGCTCTTCTGCAATATCAAAAATTGTTCCTCCCTTTGAAGTCCCCGCAAGATTAACCCGTCGAGTTGAGGCTTCGCATCCCTTCGTGGTCACTTTGGAGACCTGCAGAACATCTCTTTCCAAAGATTCGTTCATCCAACGAACAGCGAGACTCTGGAACACATTGCCAAGGGAGGTGTTCCCCGAGACATATAACCTCTAGAAATTTAAAAAGAATACCAATTCCCACCTCATTTTCCTTGGTTCTCACGATGTTCTCTGAACATTACGAGATATCCCTTCAATTCCTTCGATTCAAGAAATTTCTATGGAAAGAAGTTTTAACTAGAGAAAGCCAAATTTTGCGAAGTCGAATGCAATGGTCACAAAGAGGGAGATACTCAAAGTCATTACCACAATAATAGTTCATAAAATGAACGAAAGTGGTAGATAACGAGAGGAAAACAACTTCTTTCCTGGTTATATGCCAAGCACAATATTGGATTATGTCTTCTCGACATCTATACAATAATTCGTATAGACGAATAAAATCGAGAGTGTTTCCTTCCTAAACACCGAGCTGTGCCTAAGTGGTTCAGGAACGCGTGACTACCTGCAGACCAGTTTCGAGCTGTTTGATCTCATCAGTGCAGGGCTGTCCCAGATAGCATTCTTGACCGCTATCTTGTGCGAACCTGTGCCAATGTAAACGCATCTCAGTATTTATACCCCACGTATGCGTTCAACGTTGTTTTTCTTTCCTTGCCACGTGGTGTTTGACGTTCGCGTTCATTTTGCGGCCGTTGAATGCTTCACGTGGTAATCAATGATCAGATGCGTTTGAGTTGGGTGAGGTTGGCACCAGATAGAGGTGAAGAATGCTATCTGGGACAGCCCTGCACGGATGAGGCGTTTAGGAAAGGAACACTTGCGATTTCATTCGTCTATTCGAATGATTGCATATATTTGGGGAGGATGTAATCCAATATTCTGCCTGGCATATAGCCAGGAAAGTTGTTGTTATTCTATCATTAGTTTCTCTCTCTTTGTGAAAAATTTTCACATTGCAAAACTAAGAATTACCTAAGGTTATGTACTCACGTGAAACCTAGAAAAAGAGATAGTCTTCGCTAATGGCATTGAGGTGAAAATTCATAAGGTTTGTTAATCTGTGTTCAGGGAAAATTATTTCGTTCACGTACCAACCAGATGTACTTTCCTACTTATTCTCTGAAGAACATTCTATGATTTCTTCCATCAATTATCTGGCTTCTGAGTTTTTTGTATCTCTGAACCCTTGAGCCGAATTTTATTCAAATTGAATAGATGAAGGGAATATGATCATTCCACAGTCTTATAACTTGATGGTTGCCATGCAGCACATTCTATAACAATGATTCATTCCTAGATTATGAATGATGACAATTAGAATTAATAATGATAGGCTCATTCCAGTCTGTATCAATATAAAAAGTAACATTAAAACTTTTTAAATTTCAGATAAAGGTATATGTGACTTAGATGATGATAACCTACTGACTCTTTTGCATAATAATAAGTTTCTTTATATCGACATTCTCTACTAATTAATCCCAAAATAAAACCATAAAGTGTATATATATATGAGTAAGTACCTCGTCCTCATATTGCTCAGGAATTTTTGTGGTAGTTAGTGTGCAAATTTCAAGGTATGTATAGCTTCAATAATTCGAAATAGTGTTAGCTCGCCCAACATCTTATTCAAGATATAAGAAATATTACTGTGTTTCCCTACTACATGTAGTATCTACATGTATATTTTTGAATTTTCAAATACACCCACCTACAGGAATTTTGTTGCAAAATTGGTTGTGAAATTTCTGTAGGTAATGGGATTTTAGAGTAAATTGCTGACCCGAAAAGGCATCAAACATGATTGATTGATTTTAATTTGGGATCTGTATTTCCTTTCAGCACAAAGATGTTCAAGTTTGTAGTAGCCGTGGTTTTTTTGTCAGGGACATATCAGTTCTGTAACTGCGATGTGGAAAGTATCTGAAAAAGTAAATATTAGATTTCGTACGTATATATATCATATTTTACCAATTGAAGTAAATATTCTTCATTTGCTCATTTGTTCCACTTTTCATTGAATGCCCCAGGTGAGTTATTAACAAATACACTAAAATATTTCCTATATATCGAACTCGAAACTAATGAGACATACTTCGTTCTACCATTGTCGCCCAACATTTTTCGAACGCATCAGTGATATTTTTGGACAAATCATCTGATTTGTTCTCACTACACAAACGATAGAAATATTTCTCAGATTTTTATTCATAGAAACGAGAAGAGGAAATTCCATTCCATTCCAAATTAATGGCTCATTCTTCACAAAATCATTTCGTCAAATTATTTTATTAAAAAAACTTGAACACCTTGCATCTCGAGAACCAAGCTTCGAAACATTCGAGTGTACACAAAATGTCACTTTAAAATTTTACGAGCTTTATCGCTCATCAAATTTTTTCAATTACAATGTGAAACACCCCGTATATAATATCGTTCAAACATCGATTATGAGAACTCCTTCACGAACATTTCATGAGCCAACTTCGATTTTTTTCGATGTATGTCTATATACTATCACTTGTAATTTTCCCATGTTCCGTATAAATAGTGCGTCGTTCATATTATGAATCATATCCTTGCATCAAAATAGATATAGAGTAGCTGGTATACAGTCTGTCCAAGACAAGGTTGCACAGCATGGGGATCTCGGAAACGGTAGGAGATACGAAGTCGGTTAAATGGGGAAAAAGTTGCGCATTCTGAGGCTCATACCAACAGCCTTCGAAAATTTTCAAAATTTTTTTTAGTTTCTCAGTTATATCGAAAAAAGTGAATTTTTTGAATCTCTATTTTATTTTTTTTTCCGTTATTATTAGATACACAGGAAAACTGAAGATACTTTTACATAGCAACTTTTGATGATGTTTAACGTGGTGATACCAATTTTTTATGCGACGTTTCGTATTCGTAGAACCATCATCAACTTTTGTTTTTTAAATACGGCTCTGATAATTCTTTCACAGATTCTGGAAGCTTTTTTTATTCTGAATCCAACCATGTATTATACAAGGTGGTTTGAATGTGTTTCGAACTATTTTTAGCCATCATCAATGTTTTTTTCCAAATTCCAAAGGAAAAATGTCGTCAGTTCCACTTATTTTGGAGGGAAATTAGCCAACAAACTAATACCTCATCAACTAGTTCAGATTGATAGACTTATAGGAATAATTAGTTCGAAAAATTTAATTATGACAAGCTCCTTCGGATTAAAATATGAATACAATTCATAAACAATTCGAAGCGCTTCATTGAATAATTTAGTGGATTTTTATTTCACTTTTCAGTATTGAATAACTAGTCCATCAATGTTTGACACTGAATAATCAGAAATAAGTGAAACTGATGGCATTTTTCCTTTGGAATTTCGAAAAGAACATTGATGATGACTAAAAATAGGTCGAAACACATTCAAACCACCTTGTTCAATACATGGTTGAATTCATAATAAAAAAGGCTTTCAGAATCTGTGAAAGAATTATCAGGACCGTATTTGAAAAACAAAAGTTGGTGATGGTTCTACGAATACAAAACGTCGGATAGAAAAATCTGTATCACCACGTTGAACGTCATCAAAAGTTGCTATGAGAAAGTATTTTCAGTTTTTCTGTATCTCTAATTATAACGGAGAAAAAAAAATAAAATAGATATTCCAAAATTTCACTTTTTTCGATATAACTGGAAAACTTGAAACAATTTTGAAAATTTTCGAAGGCTGTTGGTATGAGCCTCCGAATGCGCAACTTTTTCCCCATTCAACCGACTTCGTATCTCCTACCGTTTCCGAGATCCCCATGCTGTGCAACCTTATCTTGGACAGACTGTATAATGTATATATGTATCTTTATAGTACACACCGAGATGGAAAGAGATTGATTCATTCCTGTCGTGAGGTTAGCTATGATCTCGAGACAGGAATGAAACTTCATACCTAGGTTTGTACAATATTATATTTACAAGCATCATATTTCGACAAAGAATCAATGAATCTCTGTTTCGTTCTGAACATACCTGGATAATAACATAAGTGAGGGCGGGAAGTAGAGGTGTGTAATGTGACACATTCCAACCTCCAATGACGTTAGAACTGACAACATTACATAATATGGTTGTGAATAATAGTTATTTAACCAACTAGTTTATTAATCGCCTTTTAATATACAAGTTGATTACAAAATTTTTCCGTCGACTATATTTCTCATTTCTCCTGCAATGAAGAAAACTTGGTTCGCGAATTCATCATTCATCTGGAATCTGCTAAGAATCACTCAGTAGCCTTGTCACTGACATTAGTGTCATTTGACATTTGTCGAAATGATCAACATAGAAAATAAATTCCTTGTGTTAGAAAACAGGGATTAAAATCGTGTCAGAAACTTGGAAAGGTGAACCCGTTAACAGAAAATCTTCAATGAAATCCATATTTTCGATTTAAATGCAGATTCTGTAAGTTATAGCATAAACAATGAATGCACGCGGTGTATGTTTGGTTGCCTATAAAACAATCGTACATTAATAGACAAATCGTTCATTAATAGGGGTCATTAATGAACGATTTCATATACATTAAACTTAGTCGTTAATACGAGGTCGACGAAAATAGTTATTTAACCAACTAGTGTATTAACTTCAACAAAAGGTCAAGATTTGATAACACTAGTGTGGTTTCATAGTTTTGTTCCATCATCCTGGTCAGGATTTTCAGGATGAGTAAAGGATGTTACGCCACCAAAAATTCCAAATGATCCTTCACCAAAAATTCGAATGATCGTTTCAAGATAGCTTTACACCAAGTAATCGTATTTTAATGATGTTCCGCCACCAAAAATTCCAAATGATCCTTCACCAAAAATTCGAATGATCGTTTCAAGATAACTTTACACCAAGTAATCGTATTTTAATGATGTTCCGCCACCAAAAATTCCAAATGATCCTTCACCAAAAATTCGAATGATCGTTTCAAGATAACTTTACACCAAGTAATCGTATTTTAATGATGTTCCGCCACCAAAAATTCCAAATGATCCTTCACCAAAAATTCGAATGATCGTTTCAAGATAACTTGACACTCGTATTTGAATGTTGTTCCGCCACCAAAAATTCCAAATGATCCTTCACCAAAAATTCGAATGATCGTTTCAAGATAACTTTACACCAAGTAATCGTATTTTAATGATGTTCCGCCACCAAAAATTCCAAATGATCCTTCACCAAAAATTCGAATGATCGTTTCAAGATAACTTTACACCAAGTAATCGTATTTTAATGATGTTCCGCCACCAAAAATTCCAAATGATCCTTCACCAAAAATTCGAATAATCGTTTCAAGATAACTTTACACCAAGTAATCGTATTTTAATGATGTTCCGCCACCAAAAATTCCAAATGATCCTTCACCAAAAATTCGAATGATCGTTTCAAGATAACTTTACACCAAGTAATCGTATTTGAATGTTGTTCCGCCACCAGAAATTCCAAATGATCCTTCACCAAAAATTCGAATGATCGTTTCAAGATAACTTTACACCAAGTAATCGTATTTGAATGTTGTTCCGCCACCAAAAATTCCAAATGATCCTTCACCAAAAATTCGAATGATCGTTTCAAGATAACTTTACACCAAGTAATCGTATCTGAATGAAGTTCCGCCACCAAAAATTCCAAATGATCCTTCACCAAAAAGTCGAATGATCGTTTTAACAACTTCACACTATGTATGTAAATAAAGTTTCCGGAGAGGAAGCCTGATAAACGAAAAAATAATGAAAAATAAAAAATAATCGTAATTCAAAAAACTAAAAGAATACGCTTTTATAAAAGGCCAAACTGAAAAAAAGTAAGAAATGAAATAATGAGAGTGTGTTGATGAATACATATAACATAAAATAGTATATTTGTGACAGATAACAGCAGCAATTTTGATTTTTTCGTCTTGTAGCCAACTGATTTCTTCTCAAGTAATGCTTATCTATTTGACAGAGCTGTCATCATTCGAAATTTTTTTTTAGGAATTGAAAAATTGAAGTGAACAATTGTGATAGCAGATCAATATTATGCATACTATTTGAAATAGTATATGTTGAGGTCATAACAGTGTTTCATTGTAAAATTCCTCAATATTATAGTAGGCTCTTTCCATAAGGGCATCTCTCACCAGTTTTCTAAATTTACTATAATTTTCTATAGTTCTTAGTTCAGTGGTATATAGTTAAAAATCTTCTTTCTTTCAAATAACAGAGGAAATTTTGTCAAGTTGACTTTGGAATGGGTCGAGCAATTTTCCTCTCTGTTATTTGTCGGGTGACATGATTTGTTTGTACTGAAGTCTCAGCCATATACTTTCTGTGAATCAGACATACCGTTTCCAATATAAACAGACCTGTTCGTCAAAAGAAAAGCCTACCAACAACGCTGTGTATAGGCCCCTTTCACGCAAGCATTCATTTCATCGTCCAGTAACAATCGTGAAAAAAGTGTACTTTCTTTCACGTGTTTCTGTGAAGTATGTCAAACATATCCTGATTATGTCAAATATATCCTGATTGTGTCGAATATCCCGATTATGTCAAATATATCCCAATTGTGTCGAATATATCATGAAATGGACATTAAATCCCTATTTTGTCATTATTTATATATTTGTTTTGATAATGTTTATGTATTTGTAGTTGTAAACTCTCACGCACAAGCAATCACTTGCTTCTGTGAGTATACATGTTTATTCATTTATATTTGTATTACATTATAGCATTGTTCATTTAACCGTAATAAACATATTATTATTATTATTATTATTATTTTTATTATTATTAATGATTAGTTATTTATTATACAAGGGAAAAAAGTAGAAGATTTTAGCTCCAGGTTGTGTTGTCTCCCGACGCGTAGCTTTGCTGTCGTACGGAGGGTAATAATAGAAGTAGCGTATCTGATTGAACTCGGAGGATTGAACGTCTAAAATATAAAAAAAAATTGTCGAAAAATTTCAAATTTGCGAGATTTGCCCTACTGAAAACTATTCGTTGCAGCATTCAGCAACAGTTCGTCTCTACGACCCCACAGGAAATACTGAAGTGACTGGAGAATTGAATTTCACGCAAGTAGAGAATGGCGTTCGTATCACCGGGGAAATTCATGGAATTCACGAGGGAAAACATGGTGGTCACGTGCACGTAGATGCTGACATTTCAAAAGGATGCATCGGGGCTGGTGGACCTTTCAATCCCCACAACGTGAGTTATCCCGTAATTTTTTATTATTTTTTATTTGTATATCGCTACTTCAAAGTTGGGAAACAACTCCCCAGAAGTCGAAACTTGTGCGGGGTTAGGAAGAGCGGGACCTACAGCTTATGGTGGAATCCGAACCACATCTAGTCTGGTCGACGAAGTTCCATCTGACTCTCTTATCATAAATGCTGGTGTTCCGCAAGGATCAATTCTGGCACCAACACTATTTCTACTCCATATCAACGATTTGTTGGAAGCAACTTCATGTCCAGTACACAGCTTGGCGGATGATAGTACCCTCCATAACGCCTTCTCTTTTAGGGCTTGGCAACAATTCTCGAATGGGGATCCAATAACTTGGTAGATTTCAATGCAAACAAAACACAAGCATGCCTTTCCTCTTGAAAAGCCGATATCACTGTGCCCAACAGAAGCTTGTCAGGAGTAACCATACTTTTGAAGACATCCATTTCGATGCTTGGTATCACTATCAGTGATAACCTCTCTTGGGAAAATCATGTGAGATCAATTGCTAAAAATGAATCCCAGAAACTTGGTTTTCTGTTTCGGGCCAGGAGCTATTTCACTTCCAGTCAGCTGCTTATGATCTATAAGACACACATCCGACCTGTCCTGGAATACTCTTTCCATATTTGGAGTGCAGCACCCAAACATACCCTGAAACTGTTGGATTCTGTCCAAAAAATGTCAATTCTTCTCGTGGGTGATACCTCGCTCACAAACTCACTCACTTCTCTGGAACACCGTAGAAAAGTTGGCGATCTGGCTCTTTTTCATGGACGATGTTCCTCTGAAATATCAACAATTGTTCCTCCCTTGGCAGTCTCCCCGAGATTTACCGTCGAGTTGAGGCTTCGCAGCCCTTCGTGGTTACTTTGGAGACATGCAAAATATCTCTTCTCAAAGACTCGTTCATCCAACAAACAGCGAGGCTCTGGAACACATTGCCAAGGGAGGTGTTCCCCGAGGCATATAACCTCAAGAAATACAAGAAGAACACCAATTCCTACTTCATTTACCTTGGTTCTCACGATGTTCTTTGAACAATACAGGATATCCCTTCCCTTGGGAACCAGAACATACTGGTACTGATACTGGTACTGGTGGGGGACGTTTCCACGTTAGCAACTAGTCCCCAATGGGACCTTTTTGCAAACCCCAAGTGTTTTCAATGACTGATGTGGTTCGCTCAAGAGAGCTGGCTAACATCCTTTTCAGGCACCGCACATCAGCTCTCTTTTCAGAGTTTTTCAGCTGTGTTTTGTAGGCTAGTAATGTACTCACTACCATATGCGCAGTGGCAGGCCTGCTAACTATCCTCGTTAACCCCCGAGACAGAGGTCTAGTTAAGCAGCTGGCCCGCTCTCACGCTCAGCTGGTAGTTTTTCCACACCCACCTACATACACCGTCCTACTTCTTCTCTGATGCTCACAACCACATCATCATATCTTTCTGCGTGTTCTGTGTAGGCTTTGTTACTAACTCCATGCGCAACTTTAGGAGCAGCACTGTTAATTGGAACGCAACAGCGAATCGTGCAGGACTATCCCCAGCCGATGCTCCGAAACTTTACAATATTCAATTTGTAAATAAAATATTGAAAAAAGTTCCTTGCCCGTGCTGGGAATCGAACCTACGACCTTGCGGTCGTGAGACGGACGCTCTTCCACTGCGCCAATCCCGACTCATAACCAGAACATAAAAAAAAAAATATTTATTCTACTGTCTCCTTATTTGGAACGTAGTATAGTGTGTTAAGTATTAGGAGAATGTAAATTAATCAAAGGTGGGCGTATCATGTGAGGCTATACGAGATTTTCCCCTGATTTAGGTTCGCCATGCAGGGCCCGATGACGAAATCCGCAACACTGGAGACCTTGGCAACGTCGTAGGAGACCGTTTCGGCGTCGCTCACATTGACGTCGTGGATAAGAGAATCAAGTTGAACAAAGGCATTGATGGTATCATAGGTAATGTATTCTGAGCCAATTCCTATGAATTTGAAATATTCATTGACACCTTCCATGAAATGGCTTGTGATTGCGAAAATACTATTCACATTATCATGAACGTGGTGCTTCAATCTAGACTCTAGACCATACAAATCACGAACACTATACACTCGACAATAACATGATAAAGAATAGTTATACAGGGTGTTACTTAATGGTATGCTGAACCATTCGATTATACTTTTGAAATCGATTTCTGCCTGCAAACCCTGATATTAATGAAACTGTTCACTCTGCTAAAAACTTCATTATTCTAGCATACAATCAGCACTAAAATTTCAAAAGAATAGTATCTTTAATAACTGAGATATCAGGGTGTACTCATGAAACAAGCTGAGATACTTTGGATTCAATGAGGAAGCCTCTAGGCTACTGAGAAATTATTTGAAAAATCGATCACAAATTGTATCTCTAAATGGAGAATGCTCGAGTGCTTTACCAGTAAATCTTGGAGTACCACAGGGATCTATACTTGGACCTCTTTTGTTTTCGTTATATATATGCGATTTCCACCAGATTATTAACCATTGTACTATGCATCATTATGCAGACGATACTCAGCTGTATTATTCATTTTCGTACCATAACTGGGATGTTGCAGTAGACATTGTCAATGAAGATCTACAGAACCTCTTGAATATTTCAACAGCCCATAATTTAAAGTTGAATCCAAAGAAGTCCCAGTCAATCCTCTTTGGTCCCAAACATAAACGGTTGGAAATTGGAGAATTATTTCGTATCAAGCTCAATCGAGTTGAAATTCCTATTGTCAAAGAGAGTAAAAATTTGGGTTTGTGGCTTGATTCTGATCTCAGATTCCACAAACATATTAATTCACTCTGTCAGAGTTCATACAATATTCTTCGCCAACTATATCAGAGTAGAGATATCATGTCCTCAAAACTCAAAATGAAACTCTGTGATACACTGATACTTTCAAGACTATCATATTGTGATATTATTTATGGCCCCGCTATAGTACAAATGGACGTGAAACGTCTACAAAAAATTCAAAATAATTGTATCCGTCTTTCATACGGAATTCGTAAGTTTGAACACATATCTGCTAAATTTGAGGAATCCGGTTGGTTGAGACTTGATAAAATTTGGCAGCAACATCTCCTCGTGAATACCCACAAATTTGTTACAATGAAAACGCCAGATTATATCCACAAGAGATATACCACCTTTAAATCTCAAGGTAAATCGAGTACACGTAACCGTAACACCTTCATTATTCCAAAGCATTCATCAGTTTGTTTCACACGTAGCTTCATGTATAACTCGATCAAGCAGTATAACTCTCTTCCTAATAACTTCAAAAACGACTCATTGCTGAATTTCAAGAAAAGGTTGAAAGAATACCTCAAAGCAGGATAGATTGGATGATAACAACGCCTTGTCTGATTTTTTTTTTTGTTTTTTTTTGTTTGCGAGCCTCCTATTTGTATTCGTATTGAATATGTGAATATTTTATCGTCGTATATGTACTTGTATGTGTATATTTAATTATATTCAATCATATATTAATATGTTTATATTACCTTACATGGTTAAGTTGTAAAACAGCGCAAGCTGAACTTCGCCTTTTCATCGAGCATCATTATAATTTGTAGATCTATTGTTTTTATAAATTATTAATTATCGATGAATAAAGCCCATTTATTATTATTATTATTATAATAAAAGCGGGACCAGATCTTTCTTTCATTTTCATATTCAAGTACATATTATGAAACACTCTGCATGACATACATGAGTTAATTACTTCTGAAACTGGATATATTATTACAGGAAGAGGGTTCGTTATCCACGAAAAAGAAGACGATTTGGGCAGAGGAAATAATGCGGAGTCTGGAAAGACCGGAAATTCCGGGGGTCGTATAGCTTGCGGAGTCATCAAAGTACTGGAAGAATGAATAACCTACGATTAACTACTGAGAAATCAAGGGAGATTGAATTAAATGATCCAAATCATCTGATAATTCATGGCAATGTTTGTACTAGCTTAGTATTCAATAAGTATTTGTGTAAAATACAAAGTGAGGAATCAATCAATCAATCAACTTCATGAAAGGAATAATGTTCACTATACAGGGTGTAACTGAATAAGTGTAAAACATTTGAGGGGCTGATTCCTCATCGAAAAAAAGATGGGATCTTTCATATAAAGCAACTGCATTGGAGCATCCCATGTTAAGATACAGCCCCTTGAAGGGGGTACATAAAATTTGTTCAAAAATTTTTTTCACAAGCACTAAAAAAGTTACAGTATTGAAATTAACCTGACATTTTCTACTACCAAAAAGACACTTAGCCACTAATTTATTTGGTTCACCCCATAGTTGTAAGGGGTGGAAAACTCAACCCCTAAATTTTATTTCCAATGTAACTTTTTGTCTTATTATTTGTTTACCATTTACAAATTTATTTCCGATAGCCAATTTCATGCTAAATAAAAAATGTCCCTTGAGTTTTTGCCCAAAATGAACCAGTTGGCAGCAAAAAAATATGTTGAGATCAACTACAGTGATACATCATTGTCATTTTGTAGTTACTATCTGCGTTAAATAATTAAAGGGATTAAACCATGGGGTAAACCAAATAAATTACTGGCTAAGTGTCTTTTTGGTAGCAGAAAATGTCAGGTCAATTTGAATTCTGTAACTTTTTTAGTGCTTGTGAAAAAAATTGTTAAACAATTTTTATGTACCCCCTTCAAGGGGCTGTATCTTGACATGGGATGCTCCAATGAAGTTTCTTTATATGGAAGATTTTATCTCTTTTTCGATGAGGAATCACCCCCTTGAATGTTTTACACTTATTTAGTTACACCCTGTATAGGAACTATCATCCAGTAATCTATCAATTATATTTTTCGTAAAACCTTTGCTTTTCAAGTTAATGGACTTCGAACATAGAACATGTTGATTGTAATGTTTGTTCTTCAACTGTTTTTTTTTATGTAGCTGATATATCATTCGGTATTTACAATGCTCAATATTCTTTGATATCAGCCACGAAAGTAGTGTTTTTCGATAGATATCCTAAAAATTATTTTTTAATTTCTCATAAAACGTATATATTAGCAGATCCGAATGGTCTGGTTAAATCAGATCAGAATGGTCTGGCTGAATCGAAGTCAATAGGCATTCAGGAAAGATTCACTTGTCTTGTATCAGTATTCGTTTATATTAGCCGATGCATAGATTTCGGGAGGATGTAATTCAATATTTTGCGTGGCATTAGTCAGGAAAGTAGTTGTTTTCCTCCCGAAATCTACCATTGTTATTAATTTAATGAACATTGTGTGGATATGACTTTGGGCTTTTTGTATTTATTCAACATTGCATTTTGAACATTGTAGCTATTTCGTAGTTGAGATCAGAATGTGATGTAGATGAAAGATAAATGTGATTCCTCACCTTGGATCCTCCAGGACTCTAATTTTCAGTTTCGGTTATATTTCTTTTAATTGGTGAATTTCGGCATTTCGTTGCGCCTAGACGAAGTGCAACAGTGCTTGTATATGATAAATAAATGTATTTTTACTATAGATATATGATTAAACTATAAGTCCGTATGAATTCGATGTCCTTTCATTTCACTGACGAGAAAGAACGCGAAGTTTTTAAAAATACCCAGAACATAGGTTGTTCATTTCGAGAAAAAATTAATATAGGTGTGATTGTCAAGGAGTTGTTTGAATTATCAACTTTTGTGCAACACATAAGTAACCTCATTTGGTCCAGGTTTTCCAGAATGCTGATAGTGATACTCGTTCTCGAAAATAGTTTCATTATAGTGCATACCAGAAAAATCAGAAGTTGGCCATTTTGATGGCATCATTGTCATCTGTATGTCAATGCGAAACTATATATCTCAATGTCCTGAACCATTTTTCATCCGAATTGATTCAAATAAATGATGAAAATATGAGAGTATGGTGCTAGTATATCATAGTGTCATTGCGCGACAATGACAATATTTTATGATCAATAATTCTAAATGATGACAATAAAATACTTAAAATCCAACTATATCTAGATGATAGACTAGATGATGAAAAATCATTAAATTCCTTTCAATTCACGATGAAAGCATTGTAGGGATTATTGTTATTTAAATGATAAGAATAATTTTTTTCAAATCCATATTTTGTACTAATGAGCTCCGAAATATTATCTCACACGAATGCATGTGCTTGTTGCGGTTAAATTGAGCAGCAGTTTACTTATAAGGTCCATCGGTATAATAATGTACTACCAAGGTGTATTTCATGATTTTCCCACCACTAGCAATATATTCCAAATATTATAGTGCCTCAGAATTGAAGATAGTATTCTACAACCCTTTACTTCTTATTCCAGTCATCCTGTGAAAACCTAGCCACAATAATCAGAATCATGACTGACATTTCCATAGAAACATCTATAAGTTATTGAAGAACAATCCATGAATGTGATTTTATTTTTATTCCTTGAATAATAGTACGTTACTTCCAATCATTCAAACCGTTCGAAAATCGAACATTGACATATGATTTGTATCATAATAGGAAGCATTCGATTAGGAATCCTAGAAAATGTGTTGTCCAAGGATTATATGTTTACTTTATTATTGAGAACTTAGAACGATATACGTAGGAATGAATCAAAAATTTATTTGCTGAATACGCAGAAAAAAACTATCCAGATTCCAGATTTGATCGCGCCATTTTCGAGAATCAGAAGTTCCATTTCCACGAATTACAATGTTAGAAATTAATCACAGCACGTAACAATAGCTTGAATCACTACACTATAGAATTCTTTATAACCTGACGTGACCCATTTTTCCACTTCGCGTGTTGCCAAGATAATTGAAATGGCGTAGCAGCTGTAGGTAGCTTGAAGGTAGGGTTTATGAATACCGAATAGGCGAATACTATAAAGAAAAATGTATCTACTTGGTGTGCTATAATATGACCTATATACAGGGTGTATCTAAATAACACCGAAAACATTCAAAGGGTGTTTTCTTGTGATATTCTAGCAAATAAAGTTCATATAAACATGTGTCCTACCTTGCTCCATTTTTGAGATACAGGATGTTGAAGTTGGAAGTATTAATTGTTTTTATTTATAACCCTCCTGTACAAGCATTTCATGGTGCCAAAATTCAGTATGGATGGAGACTGAGAAAGCCCCAATATTTCAGAATGATTCGAATTGGGGTTATTGAACAATCTCAATGGAAGTCTTGAAAATATCTACACTATTTGGAGTCGAATCTGATTTTTATTGTTTCCCCAGAAACTAAGCTAGATACAAAAATCACACAACAGATGAAACAGTTGTTATTTCAATAGTTTAATCTAATGAAAATATGAAATTCAGAAAAACCGATGAATTTACCCACTGTGACGCCACTGGAAATATTATTCCGAATCTAAGTGTACCAGAAGAAGCTCCATATGACTATTACCAAAACCACAACGTTTTATTGAAATTCAATCAATCAATCAATCAACTTTATTATTCCCAAGAAACAACATTTGTTTATAGCAGGGAACATAGTGAATACATAAATACATTTGACAAAATAAAATAAAGAAGACAGTAAAATGAGACTCACACTCAAAAAGAATCTTTTTTTTTTCAAGTTCAAATGAAAATGATCCTCAATTGGCTCAGCTGTTAGGTACACAATTGAAAACTATAGTAGTTGTACAAGAAAACTAAAAAAATGAGATGAGATGTCAATATTACAGGAGTAGATGTTTCTTGAATTCTCTTTTGAATTTTTCAATCCTATTAATCAGCTTCAAATTGATGGAAAGACAATTGAGTAATGACTAAAAAAACGATTTTCCATGGAAATATTAATATCCTGTATCTCGAAAACGAAGCAAGTTAGGGCACATGTTCAAGAGAACCTCATTTCCTAAAAAAAATTTTGATATGAAAGGTTTCGACCCATTATTATCAACGACAGCAGGGTAATTTTCTTTGAAACTCTAAGGGAAACCGATGATTTATTATATTTCGGATAACAGTATGATTCTAACTTCATTTTGGAGGTGGTCGAAATCCTTTATGGACACAACGAAGGATTATCCCCTTCATAGTGATGTTGGGAGTTCCTAAATATGTAGGTGTATTCACTAAACACTCCAGACTCCAATATCTTTCAGGGCTCGTCCGACCGAGTTCAGACAAAGTCTGATCAAATGGTATTTTTTCGACTTTTTCATCATATAATCTGACCAATCACAAGGCAGAGACAAAGTACGCTTATCGCGAAAACATTAGCTGTATCTCAATTCTGATTGGTCTATCAGCGTTGATGTTGTCAACGATGTTACCATGGATAGGCAAAGGAAAGTCTGGATAATACCCAGGATAGCGAAGCAAAGTCTGTCATTTTGACATGAAATAATTATGGCTGTACTTGTCAGAATGAATCACTCATTTATAATAAATGCTTTTTATGCTTCGTGAAGATGAAATAGTCTAGCAAAATACCACACTGTTTCGAATATCTTATCATAATTTTATCTATCAAGTATCAACGTTGACTCAATTGTGTAACACAATTGAGTATTGTGTTGCCGTACATCAATATAATTTCGTGAACAATGAAGCGACAGAAGTATCTCTAATCGACTGAAATATTGTCATGTAGTGAATCCTAATCAAATTTTCATTTATCTGAATTCGAGCATAATTATTCTTAATAAGAAACATTCATTTCAATAATCACGTGAGATCAATTGCTAAAAGTGCATCCCAAAAACTTGATATTCTGTTTCGGGCCAGGAGCTATTTCACTTTCAGTCAGCTGCTTATGATCTATGAGGCACAGATCCGACCTGTCCTGGAATACTGTTCCCATATTCGGAGTGCAGTAACCAAACATACCCTGAAACTGTTAGATTCTGTCCAAAAAAGGGCAACTCGTCTCGTGGGTGATGCCTCGCTCACAAACTCACTCACTTCTCTGGAACACCGTAGAAAAGTTGGCGATGTGGCTCTATTTTGAAGATATTTCCATGGACGATCCTCTTCTGAAATATCAACAGTTGTTCCTTCCTTGGCAGTCCCCGCGAGATTCACCCATCGAGTTGAGGCTTCACACCCCTTCGTGGTCACTTTGAAGACCTGCAGAACATCTCATTCCAAAGACTCGTTTATCCAACGAACAGCGAGGCTCTGGAACACATTTCCAACGGAGGTGTTCCCTGAGGGATATAATCTCCAGAAATTCAACAAGAACACCAATTCTTACCTTATTTCCCTTAGTTCTCACGATGTTCTCTGAACATTACATGATATCCCTCTTCGTGGGAACCAGAACATAAAAAATAATTCAAATCCAATGTATTACCTGACACTCATACCTAGACAGGAACTAACGTTTCCTATTACAACTAATATTTCCATAACCTGTATGGACTCAGATCGAACAAAAAATACATTGATTCTGAAACTGCTGAGATACATAAATTAATATACAATCAGGGAGGGAAATATTGGTTGGAGTAGTTTGATTATAAGAAATATGTGTGCTCATTGAAGATGGATTAATCCAAATTGTCAGTACCCATATAATGATTCCATCCAACAAACATGTTTCTTTCGCTTTTTCAAATACGCTTTTTATTTCTTTATGTTCCACAATATAACAACAATCCTTTCAAAGCCAAGCGAGTAAGTACATTCAGTCTATGGAGTAAGAACCCTCAAGGGGTATGCATATTTTGAAAAAATCTTCATAGATACCTACACGATAATATACCTACCTACACCTATCCACTTACTTATAATGATTCCAGAATCATTTATCTTAGTACAGTATCACAATGTCCTCTACAAATAACCATGTTCATCATCTGACCTTGAACATCTAGATGAAAATGATGAGCTGAAGCTCAATATGGTCATTGTTTGATATTGTTGGTCGATTTCTCGAATGAACAGATCCTTCATTTTGTTCGAAAGTATCTTCCAGAACTCAAAAATCTCTGAAATCATGCATGACAGTCATGAGGTCTGTTCGTATGTGTCGCTGAACTTGCTGAAGTTGATTTTGTTCCCATAGTTGTATCTGTTGATGGCATAATGTGAAAAGAAAAAGTCATAGAAAACAATCAAATTTAACAGGTAGAGCAAAACGTGAATACTTTTGTGACACTACGCATGCTTCTGATAGTTCCGGACTGTTGCTTTTATTTTTTATTCGAAATAAGAAAGTTGGTACCCAGTTTTGGCACACGTTGTATAGCTGGACGACTAAAAATGCTTCTGGTAAATTGGAAATGATCGATTATGACAGCTTACCAAATTTTGAGTGTTTAATCAAACTGCTAAATGGAAAACTAATGTGTGACCTACGTGAATCACCTTGTATGTATCAGGGTGGTTATACAGGGTGATGCATTGAGAATGGGAAATGTCTGAACTATAGATAGTGAACACCAAAATATGAAGATTCATCACAACATGCCTTATGAAAATTTTGTTCAAGAAACAATTTTATATTGAATTTCCACATAACTTTGGTCAAACATTTACTTTAAAATTCTGTTTGTCTATGGCATTGTTAGTGATTATCATTATTGTTTACTACCTTTTTGTCCATGGTCACTTCGCTAACCTTATACTTGGAAATAATAAAAATGTTGAAAGTGAAACACAACCTTTGTCAAGAGAAAATAATGTGAAAACCGTTAGGGCTAGACAATTTGAAAATAAGTTAATGTTTCATGTAAAATAGGACAGGCTTTCAGATTATTCTTGACCATTTAATGGACCAAGAAGATATGATGTAACAGAGTGTCCCATGAGCAATCACAAATTAAATTAAATACTGTCTGTAGGTTAATCTATGAGGTGGTATATTCATTATTCCAAATTTTTTGGGATTTTCTCTCCTCGTTTCTATAAAATAAAAATATGAATATTATTTCAACATACGTGTAGTAAGGACAAATCAGATGATTTGCCCCAAAATGTCACTGCGTTTAAAGAATTTTCTATCAGAGAGCCTAAAAGAAAAATTCACTAGTGGAATAATATTAGAATCATTGGAAAAGAAGATAACAACCAGAAGAGAAAAATCAAGGAATCTACTTGCATTCTTCTGAACGGAGACAATAGCATTGCTTCTCGTTCAGTTGATATAGACAGAACATGGTATTCACTACTAAAATCTGAACATGAAAATGGTAAATTCAAGATTAATTAATGAAAACATCCTGTAACTCCTTTGATTGCCAACGTCACCAATTGTCATTGAAAACTGAAAAGCTTCAAGACATATTATACGACTTCGCAATTGAAAAAATCTCTTCATGTTGAAAACGGGAGCAGAATCGGTCCCGAAACGTCCAAAGATAAGTGAAAATTTGATATTTTTTCAATATACCTTTATTTCTCTTCTCCAAAAATTTTTCAATACAAATTGTCACTGACAAGCTAGTGAATTTTTCTTTTAGGCTCTCTGATAGAAAATTCTTTAAACGCAGTGACATTTTGGGGCAAATCATCTGATTTGTCCTTACTAAACGTATATTGAAATAATATCCATATTTTTATTTTATAGAAACGAGGAGAGAAAATCCCAAAAAATTTGGAATAACAAATTAAATTACAAATTCGTATTTCTCATGTCAGAAAACCTGTAACTACAAAAGTTCATGTTCATTCTGTCTATACTTACAAGGTTATTGCCGCTTGAACACCCTGTATCTCCAAACCAGCAACACTCCTATTAGTCATGTACTAAATCTTCATATTTTGGTGTTAACTATCTGTAGTTCAAAGATTGCCCATCATTAAATGAATCTCCCTGTATAAAATGAAGTATTTCTTCACGATGAAAATGGTGACGAAAATTAGTGCCAATTTGATGTTCAGTCAACTTCTACTGATATCCATTCATCCACAGAAAATAAACATGTATTTCGTGGTTTTTATCAAGATAGTTTCTTATTCTCTCATCAATTCAGTCAATGGAACGGTATTATATTCATGCAGAAATAACAAAAATAGTACCTGTTTCAATATTTCATCATCAGTAACAGGAATGTAAAAATAGTTACATAGATATTGAGAAGAATTATCACGAGAATCACTTTAGCAGATCTCTGGCCTACAACGAATTTCATACAAAACGGCTGAACTAAACTACCTACAACTTGAATAACAAGTAATCATAATCAGAACACAATACATTTAACGTCCTTTTTTATCTGTATCACTGGTTCTGACTGCATTGTAAATTCTCTGTGTCATCACTCTGTACTTCAACATCATCTCCTGCTTCGTCTTGCTGGGCACTACCCTAATCGCAGTTACAGTGTTCCCGACGAAAAGCACAAAAAACAAAATGGCAGTAGCCAGTACCTTCCATGTCGCCCTCGGATGATAACTCAATCGGAACAAGACGAAAGCATTGGCCAATTGGAAGACATACCCGATGAAAAGAAAGGGTAGCAGGATCGACAGTTCCCTCCACATCCAGGATTGGAAACCTTCTATGGTGACATCCATGTTTTGTGCATCTCCTAGCGCTTTCAGTCGATACAAGGTCCCTTGTTGGTACTTGAACTGCAAGTACTGTATGAAGCAGCTGTAGAGGCTGTAGTAAATGAACTGGTACCTGAAGTTCATCCAAGTTTCGTCGTCAGACCATACTAATAATATCCCGGAACTAATTGTTGATAGAATGTGGTGTATTCTCCACCAACCTCTGATTCTTGACCCGTTTACTCTCAGTACACTCTCCCTAATCGAAACAGTGCAGTAGTACCATATTAATAAACCTATATAGAGTTGCTCCAAAACCCTGGAATCGATATACAGCAAGAAGAGGGATATTATGAAAGCTGCTATGTTGTTCACTAGCTTGAACTTCTCGTATTCATCTTTGTATTTGAACTTGTCGTCTTTGTTGAGGAAGGAAACGTCTAACCTTCCTAGTACTAGCTTCAAGTATGGCTCTCCTTTTCTAGGCAGGGACTTTTCAATCTCTTGCAATTCGGCTTCTCTTTTCAGCATACCTTCTTTCATTCCAATCACTTTGTCATTTGATTCTCGCTTCTTTAGACCATTTGCAATCACTCTCATCCGGTATCTTTGATGAGCTATATGCTTCAGGCATGACTCTTGAAGGTTTGATATTTCTGTCAACTTTCTCAAGTACTGTGCGTTGACTTCGTCTAGTTTTTTGTAGTCTTGGCCGAGTTCTAGCCATTCTTCAAACTGGGGATCACCCATAGTTCGATGCTTTGATTTCACTGTCATCGATTGATGATATTCCTTCATTTAATACTGTGCGGCTGAGAGATTAGATAAATTATTGATAAATATGTGTAGGTAGACTTCAAACTTTGTACTACCTATATCAATATTATCTCACTTATTGTTTAGCTTCCAAACACGCTGGAGGCTTATGTTATAGGTATTTGATATCATGAAGTAATGTTTTATAAAAAGTTGGACTATTTATGTACCTTAAAGATACGAATATCTATTCGTTTCAATAATAATTGTTAGCGGTATACATGTATCTTTGTAAATATATCGTTCCAACAAATCATCATATCATTATGAAGATTATCTTGTAATTAGTAAATATATCACTTTGATGTGTCGATATCATGGAATATACTTTGAATTGTTTATATCATTATATGTGATTGTGGATATTCTGCGATTAATTGTTGATCTTTTATATAAGTAGATAAGATCTAGGTATGATAACTCGTGTTCATCGTCCAAATAATTTCTTGGTTGGGAATACGTTTTTTGATAAATATCCTTGTTGAAGGATCTAACTAACGGAAAACAGCTACTTTCCTAGCTAATAACACAAAATATAGAATTAATAATATAACACTAATTTCGTCGCGCCCCAAAAATTTGCCTCTGTTGAAATATAATTAACTTTTTTCTGCTTTGAACGATTTGAATTCGGATCACACTGTTCGCTAGCCCAGTCCTTTAGCTATAAAAATATATATTTAATATAAGGCTCTCCACATAAAATCGCTACAGGGTGTTACCTGAAACTGTGCAAAATTCCGGAAATTCAAAAAGTATCCCAATTAAATGAGGAAAACATGTTTTTCCAACTTATAGAGGTATGTATATGATCTCATCATCTTGGGACACCTCTCGAATTGTCTCTTTATCTCTTTTATTTACAGAGTGATCTCAAAAAATTAACTTTTTGGTTTTGCAGTCATAACTTTGTTCCTCGTCAACCGAATTTTGAGATCTCAGGCTCATTTTGAAGCTTAAACTTCAGATGAAGAGATATGAAGATCAGAATCGACTCAGGATGAACATTATTCATGAATAAGCACCCCTGTATTTTTCGCAATTGTTGAGTTAGGATTCTGGAACTAGCAAGAGCGGTAGATATTTATTTATTTAATAATTATTTATTTATTTACTTATTTGATGTTACACTGGTCTACAGGTTGAACCCAACTACAGATATATTGAAAATACACACTATGACCAAGTGGAGTCGTCTCCAGTGATATACACTGCTCGCCAACAACCATGGAACCACCCACAAAAATAATATGAGGAGGCAAGATAGGTTGAAAATCACTTCGAAATAAGGACGTTCCTTTTGCTTCCTCCTGCAAATTTCAGAACCCTACCTCAATAATTACGTGAGATACAGGGGTGCTTCCATGATATAATATACGATTTATAGCAGCATAAAAGATTACATAAGTAAAATGCATAACACTTATCAGCCTAGTCGAGATACAAGTAGAGTTGTAAAATCATACATAATAATAACAACAAATTATCAATACTGAATACATTTACAAATAGGTTGAAATAAAAGTAAGAATCATCTCAAAGTAATCATCATAAATACACTCACCGGAAAAAAACAGGCCACCAAATAATTTAGCCAAATTGTTTGCTCTGTAACGTTTTCAATTTTGGTCCGATTTTGGTGAAATTCCAACCAAATCGTAGATTCATGTTTCCAAATGTTAGCCAGGATATTAGTTCCTAAGAAAATTTGTTGACTCGATCATTATACAGGGAAAAACGAAAGTTACTTGTTGTAACCACTTTGTGTGGTTTAAGTTAGCTTCATTATGTTTTAGATTGAAGAGTGATCTCTTCTCTACATGATGGTTTCCTAATCACGTCGATAACCACTTCTCAAAAGAAAATACAAGTGTTCCAAGTATGGATTTTTAAAATTTTTATTAACATTAATTCAGAACCATTCTCAAACCTTTTCCTTCATCATGTTTTAAATTGAAGTGTGATCCCCTTCTGTTCCTTCTTCATTCAACGGTTCTTGAATGACGTCAATATCTCCTTTTTGAGAGAAGATACAAGCGTTTCAAGGAAGTATAGATTTTTTCAATTTTCGATAACAATAATTCAGAACCTTTCTACCTATCTTAGGGGTGATCTCTAGAGGCTCATTCGCCTCCGCCCAGCCTCGTCAGATACTCTGCAAGAGCTACGATTCGCCCTTCAAGTAGAAATTTAAGCAATCCTTCAAGGCTACTTGAGTGATTTGATCAATTCGATGCCACTGCGGTTAAATGCTGTAATTCAATATTGACTACAGGTCTGCTTCTTGTTTGTTTTTTGTAATGATTTTCCGGAAAGTGCTAAGAAAGTAAGGTAGGAATATGTGATATTAATGCTTGAAGTCGTTAATCAATTAGTTCATGTAAGTTCTGATTATTGGAAAAAAAAGTTGAAAAACACCAAACTTCCTTAAAACACTCGTATCTTCTTTCAAAAATGAGATATTGACGTAAATCAAAAACTGTTTTGTTAAGAAGGGATCACACTCCAATCCGAAGCATAATAAAGCCATGTTCAGTCACTCAATTTTGCCACAGGGAGTTGATAAGTATAGGGTGAAAGAGTAACTTTGGTTTTTCCCTGTATAATGATCAAGTCATCAGCTTTTCAGGAAAACTTATATATAGGCTAACATTTCGGAACATGAATGTACGATTTGATCTAAATTTCCCAAAAATCCGACAAGGATTAAAAAAGTTATAGTGTGAACAATTTGGGCAAATTTTTTGGTGGCCGGTTTATTTTGCCGGTGAGTGTACATCCACAACCAAATTAAAAAATTAGTGAAACACACACTGTATAATGTTCATCTTGAGTCAATTCTGATCTTCATATCTCTTCATCTGAAGTTTCAGCTTCAAAATGAGATTTCAAAAACGGGTTGACAAGAAAAAAAGTTATGACTGCAAAACCAGAAAGTTGGTTTGTTTATATCACTCTGTAAATGAAAGAGATAAGAAGACAGCTTGAAAAATGTCCCTAGGTAATGAGATCATCTTCATGCCTCTGCTGTCGAAGTTGAAAAAAAAAGGTTTGTTCATTTGGGATCCTTTTGAAAATTCCGGAATTTTTCACTGTTTCAGGTGACATGACACCTTGTAGCGATTTTTTATAAAAAACCTCATGTTTCAAAGAAGTACGAGATTATAGCTGAAAGGCTGGGCTAGCGAATTCAATTTTAATAAAATTTTGTTCATTTTTGAAACGGAATAAATGTACCAATTCATTACCTTCCCACTATACACGAACACGATGTATCTAAATAACACTGAAAAAATTCAAGAAGTGATTCCTTGTGATATTCTGGAAAATAAAATTCATATGAACTTGTGTCCTAACTTGCTTCGTTTACGAGATTGGGTATTGATATTTCTTGCCTTGAATTGTCTTTTGATCAATTTCGATAGAACGTTGTGGTATCTGCAATAGTAATATGGAGCTTCTTCAAGTGCAATTTAGATTCGAAATAATATTTCCAGTGTCGTCAGAGTGGGTAAATTTATCGATATTCATGGTGAATGTCATTGTACGTCACTGGTTTTTCAGAGTTCCTTATTTTTATCAGATCAAACTATTTAAATAACAATGATTTTATCCCCTGTGTGATTTTCTTATCTAGCTTAGTTTCAAAGGGATCAATAAAAATTCGATTTGACTCCAAATTCTATGTAGGTGTTTTCAAAACTTCCATTGAAATTACTAAATAACCCCAATCACAATTATTTTGAAGTTGTGGAGTTTCCTCAGTCCCCAACTATACTGAATTTTGGCACCATGGAAGTCTATACAGGGGGGCTATGAATAAAAACAATTAATACTTCCAACTTCAACATCCTCTATCTCAAAAACGGAGCTAGATAGGACACATATTTATATGAACTTTATTTCCTAAAATATCACAACGAAATATTCGATAGAACTCACAAACTAGCTCACCACCGCAAACCGTTTCTTGCTGTGAGCTCGCTATGTTTCATAAAAAATATTGAAATCCCCGATTTTTCGGACCTCTGAAAAGGCGATGATGTGACGTCAAAACCCTAATACTGAAACAATACTATTCCAGACAGAGATGAATGATACATGATTTCGGACAGAGTGAATTAGCGCGAGATATTAGTTGCCTCAGTCTCCGTCGGGCGTTTGGTATTTTCTTTCAACTATGGCGAGGTGAGGTTTCTACGTCATAAGAGGGTCCGTTTTCAGAAGGTACTATCATTTATGTCCAAAATAAAACATTCCAGTTAATTTTTCGATCGAATTATGTCGTCAATCATTATTTATGTATAAAAGGATCATTATAAACATGGTTTGAGTTAAAAGTTCTACTAAGGTGTACATGCACGCCCATTGTTTAGGTGTTATTCAGATACACCCAGTATAAGCGTATAAAGGATTCAATGACATTGGTTCAGTATTATTCCTCAAGCTTGTTTAGTCCCGCACATATTGAATCATCCTGTATACTCCTACAATGAGGGTATAAAAATTCGTTAATAGTTCCAGAAATAACAAATATATCGTGATAGGATCTATAATAGAAGGAGTCGGAAAAGGCAACATTTCGACTAGGTTACCATGGAAATGGTCATTTTCCACACGAATATGACCGATAGTGACCAATCCGTGATCTGCTGGACGTTAACATTTTGCTCGCGAACTTGAGTCCATACAAAGAAAGTCCAGAAATAGTTTTTTAGTGAGCTTTTAGGCCGTAAGTTGGAATTGTTAGACATCATGAAGACCTGTGAATTGAGTGTGATCAAATACACATTGTTTATTTTCAATTTGATATTTGCGGTGAGTATAATTATGTTATTTTTATACAGTGTGTGCAATTGCAACACGCAACTCCATCCTATAGTTTGGAACCCTTCGACCGATTTTCGAAAACAAACATTCCATAATACGGTGTCCCTAGAAGGTCTGTACGAAATCTTAGCACGTAGCCCTGAGGTCAAATAAGCCGAATAAAGTAACTTACCTCAGTCTGAAATTGATCCGTTCCTGAGTTACAGGGTGATGAAGATGAAAAATAAACATCGAGAGTTACACGAGAGTATTTTGGGAAATTCATTTCTGCACTACTAATTACATCCAAGAAGATAAAAGCAAACATTTTTTAATCAACATAATTTAAATATTCCGGTGCTGCATCGAACATTTATATATTCATTTATTTATTTATCAAACATATCTTCATTTCAGAACAAGTTCTGGTAGGAAAAGAACATAATTAAAATAAAAGTAAAATAATAAATAATAAATATCTCTGAACTACTACACAAACATGAGTTGAAGTGAACATGAATAATAAATCATAATAAATCAGGATATCACAATGAATCACAATAAAACAAAACAATCAAAGAACAATGAAAAGAATTCTTGTCAAGGACATAACTTACTGATGAATTTCAAACATTTTTCTCAGAAATGATCAGTTTTACCACTTTGTTTTCAAATGTACCTATATTTCTGCAGTTTTTAATTTCATCTGGTAGTTTATTGAACTCAGATATGGCTGCATGAGCGAATCTTTTCTTGTCCGAGTGTAGAACTAGCAGTATCAATGTGAAATAAGTTATATTGTCTAGTTTGATGACTATGAATTTCAAAATTTCTTGTCAAAATAATGATAGATTTCAATTTTGTATTCATGATAGTGTATGAAATTTTCAGAGTCTCTAATCTGTATAGTTCTTCTAAAGAATATGATTTTGTTAAAGCATACAGTTCTGTTGTTGGTGTATCATATGGAAGACAATACAGTACTTTCAATGATTCCCTATATAATGTTGATATTTTATTAAAATTATTAACAAGATCCCCGAACATTCATTGAATAGTTGATTCGACTTAGTATATGTGAATAGAGTACTATATTTGTAATTTTCCTATTGAGTTTGTGACATCTTCTCAATGCACCAATAATAACTAGGAGATATTTTCTTTGTAAGAACCTCAATATGTTTGTCTCACTTCAATTTTCCATCAAACCAGATACTTAAATACTCTATCTGTTCAGTTTGTTTCAAGAATTCATTCTTTATTTGAAAATTGAGCTGTTTTTTGTTGAAAAATCATGTATTCAGTTTTCCTGGTATTTATTGATGAAAGGTTAGAGTGGAGCCACTTTTCAAATAATTTCAGATCGTTATTTATCACAGTTTCTAAAATAAGAGGATTTTTGTTTTGATATAAAAGCACTGTATCGTCTTCATATATGGTATAATTACTGGCTAAACCAACTTTCGTGATATTTTGAATATAAAGCCAATACAGTATTGGTCCTAAAACAGATCCTTGTGGAACACCCTTATTCATTGACAGTTTATGAGACTCAGAATTAGCAGATTTGGTACTGATTGTCCTATTCTCCAGATATAAAGCTAAAATTCTTCTCACAATGCCTCTGAGTCCCATGAATTCCAAGTTATCCAGAAGTATTGTGTGATCCACATACATAGTTTTTCTCCTTCTATTTCATCGAAATCTTGTGACATTGATAATACAATTTTTAATAAAACGAAATGCCAATATCGGTGCGAAAAATAAGAATGTGCAAAACATGAAAATACGCATGCATCAGTGCGAAAAGTAGTTTTTTTCGCACTAGTGCATTAATGTTCAACTTTTTCATATGTTACAAGTAACAAGATTGCATTTTGATTTCTAGATATCAGGTGTTGGACTGATAATAGCAGGCTCCCTCGTTCTAGCAGAGGTGGGAGAATTCAGCCATTTTTTGGAGGGTAAAATCCTAGCACCGCCAGTGGTCTTAATAGTAGCGGGTTGTATTGTCTTCCTAGTTGCTTCCTTGGGGTGCTATGGAGCTATCAGAGAATCTTATTATATGCTGATGGCGGTGAGTATATACAGAGTGGGCCTTTGAAAACGAAACAGAGGCTCTGTAGGTCGCCAAAACCGGATTATCAAAAAAACCTGAAACATGTCAACTACATTTTCGAGGGGGACATCTTTCTAAACTATTTTCAGCCCTGCGGCGTTGCCGCTTCTAAAGAAAAGAAGCAACAACTTTGTTATTTCAAACGGAACACCTTGTATTTTATTGCATTTTTAGATTCTCCCCGAAGAGCTGATTTCATCAATGCATCACACTTGGGGTCTAGCTGTAATGGTTTCAGGGATATAAAGTGTTCAAAATCGAGATTTTTCAACTTTGACATTTTTTTGTGTCGAAACTATTCATTATTGGTCAAAACGGCTATCATGTCCCGATCTCAACTTGTGATTTACTATCTACTGACATTTATTTGAAACAAATACAGGGTGGTTCAAGATTCAGAATTCTGATCACCCTGTATCTGTTCCAGTTAAATGTCAGTAGATAGTAAATCACAAGTTGAGATAGGGACATGAGAGCCGTTTCGACCAATAATGAATAGTTTCGACACAAAAAAATGTCGAAGTTAAAAAATCTCGATTTTGAACACTTTATATCCCTGAAACCATTACAGCTAGACCCCAAGTGTGATGCATTGATGAAATCAGCTCTTCGGGGAGAATCTAAAAATGCAATGAAATACAAGGTGTTCCATTTGAAATAACAAAGTTGTTGCTTCTTTTCGTTAGCAGCGGCAACGCCACAGGGCTGAAAATATTGTAGGACGATGTCCCCCTCGAAAACGTAGTTGACGTGTTTCAGATTCTTTTCATAATCCGGTTTTGGCGACCTACAGAGCCTCTGTTTCGTTTTCAAAGGCCCACTCTGTATACTTTATTACTATTACTAGAGCTTTCCCTATCAAATAGTTTGAATTCCTATGTTACCATGTACACAAATCATTATGTTCAGTACGATTTGTGAGGATGTAGAACTTTCAACATTCATCAGGAAATCATTGTACTGAAAAATATGTCTGTTGAATGATAATTAGAATGATATTTCATATCGATGTCTATACTGGGTGATTTGAGTTTAACATTCAATGTTTTCGAGAGAAAAGAAACAAAGGAATTCAAAAGCGATCGACTACAAAATTTTATCAAAAGCAGGGATTTTTTGAGACACTTGTTCATGTTTCTGATGATGGCCGTGCAGACACGAAAATAGAAGAGTGTCAGAATTAACTGGAATATACAAATTTATGTACCAAGAATAAAAAACTGTCTATTATAGTCGAGTCTGCAAATAATCCGGCGAGACAATAGACAGTTTTTCGTCGAGGTGCATATTAATTGCTTTGTCGTCCTCAACACTTATATCGACATCACGATTCTATTCACAGCGAAATCTATCGGATTATGTGAATAATTAATTTGACAATAGCAAATGACAGTTCTTGTCAACTCACTCTTTGCGCGAACCAGAGTTGCCAGTTCGATTTTAATTTTATCAGAAAATACCTTGTCAAGTTGTTCAACTACTCCTACTAATTGGGGATATTTCCGTCCAACAAGAAAATTACAAGGGTACAACCAGTTCCTACAAAAGGCAAAAAGACCCTACCTAGCAACTATAGACCGATCGCACTGCTATCTATTATTTCAAAGATCATGGAGAATGCAATCAGCATCTAGCTCATGAAATACCTGGAACATTCAGGTATTATCAACGATAGGCAATATGGCTTTCGTCATCAGAGATCGACTGGTGACCTGCTCGCTCACGTCTCACATATATGGCAGCAATCTATTGAAAAATATGGTGAAACCTTAGCCGTGGCACTTGATATCTCCAAGGCATTCGATCGAGTCTAGCATCACGGACTCCTCGCCGAACTTCCATCTTAGGGCTTGCCTCCCCATAGTTATGTTCTCTGCTAGCTAGTTTTTTCTCAAACAGATCTCATTATGTTGTGGTCGACGGAGTTTCATCTGACTCTCTTATCATAAATGCTGGTGTTCCGCAGGGATCAATTTTTGCACCAACACTAATTCTACTCCATATCAACAATTTGTTGGAAGCAACTTCACATCCAGTACACAGCTTCGCGGATGATAGTACCCTCCATACCGCCTTCTCTTTCAAGGCTCCAATACCAACCAGGCAAATCAGAAACAAACGAGGGAGACATGTTGACAACATAAATATGGACAACAATTCTCGAATGGGGATCCAATAACTTGGTAGATTTCAATGCAAACAAAACACAAGCATGCCATTTCTCTAGCCGATCTCACTGTACCCAACAGAAGTTTGTCAGGAGTAACCATACCTTTGGAGACATCCATTTCGATGCTTAGTATTACTATCAGCAATAACCTTTCTTGGGAAAATCACGTGAGATCAATTGCTAGAAGTGCATCCCAAAAACTTGGGTTTCTGTTCCGGGCCAGGAGCTATCTCACTTCCAGTCAGCTGCTTATGATCTATAAGGCACAGATCCGACCTGTCCTGGAATACTGTTCCCATATTTGGAGTGCAGCACCCAAACATACCCTGAAACTGTTTGATTCTCTTGGCAATTCGTCTCGTGGGTGATGCCTCGCTCACAAACTCACTCACGTCTCTGGAACACCGTAGAGAAGTTGTCAATCTGGCTCTATTTCATAGATATTTTCATGGACGATGCTCTTCTGAAATATCAACAATTGTTCTTTCCTTGGCAGTCCTCGCGAGATTAACCCGTCGAGTTGAGGCTTCGCACCCCTTCGTGGTCACTTTGGACTTTGGAGACCTCTCCAGAACATCTCTTTCCACAGACTCGTGACTCGTTCATCCAACGAACAGCTAGGCTCTGGAACACATTGCCAAGGGGAGTGTTCCCCGAGGCATATAACCTCCAGAAATTTAAGAAGAACACCACCACCACTACCTTCTTTTCCTTGGTTCTCACGATGTTCTCTGAACATAACAAGATATCCCATTTCGTTGGAATAATGTTTTCAAGTTTTTTTCCAAAGAACTTTTTATTTTTGTTGGCAACTTATTCAAAATTTTGAGGCAACTAAACTACATCAGTCTTGCAAACCGGTACATGGTAGTGATTTTTTTGGCGAGTATTGAAGTTATGAATGCTTTTATTCAGCTTAAAAGATACTTTTTTTCAGTTCGCTCTTTGTCTTCTGATTATCTTCGTGATAGAATTCGCTGTTGGTATAGCTGCAGCCACATACAAAAATCAGTTTCAATCAGTACTCAAGGAAGCCATGACTGATTCATTGAGCAAATATGAATCGAGCAAATCTGACAAAATAGCCTGGGATAATATTCAAACAAAGGTTAGTATTCCATTTATTATGTGAATTTCCACCTATTCTTATTCAATCGGTATTCATTCTCTGTTGTGTGTTTCTGTTTTATTTCCTCTGTTTCATTCATTGTTGATTCGTTTTCGTTTTTCTTTGTTTTTTGTTTTTTCATTCATCTTCGGTTTGGATATTGTATCTTGTTTTTTTTTTTGTTTGTTTTTTGTTCTCATCTTGGATCGCACGAAGGGGGATCGCTATTTGTTCGAAGAAAATCGTGCTGTACCTAGGGAGAATAGGGAAAAATATAGGTGTTGGAGTTTTCTTAACTTCTGGTGATAATAAATTCTTGGGAATACTTTCTTTGGCAAAGCAGTGAGTGTGGCATCACCCACAAGGTGAATTGCACTTCTCTGGATGGCATCTAAGAGTATTAGCATATGTCTGGGTGCTGAAACCCATATATAAGAAGAGTATTCTGAAACTGGCCATATTTGTGCTCTGTACATCATGAGAAGCTTGTTGAGGTGTAAAGAAGATTTTCGCACGGAACATCAATCCGAATTTTTATGAAGCAGCTTTTGCGATGGATCGGACATGATTTTGCCATCAGAGAGTATTGCTGATGGTAATACCAAGCATAGATATAGTGATCTTGGCAAGTTTATGCAAAGTCAGTTGGAAAAACACTTCACCGCAAGCCGTCGGTCCCTTTGGAAGTTCAAAGAGTGCAGCAGTGCGGTCCGACATTCGTTTACTGATCTGTTGAACTTAACTAAGTTGTTGGTTCCCCAGGCAGTAATTTCCGCAAGATCTTCATTGACAGTGTTGGCCTGCCTTCGACGTAGGTTCTCAGTTTTCTGGGATCGAATAGAAATTCTAGAAGAGAACGCGGTATAGACAGTACTAACATCTACGAAGCTGTGGATAGGGCAAGTGGTTGCTTCCAATAGATCGTTGATATGAAGTAGGAATATCAATGTTCGTGCCAAGATTGATCGTTGTGGAACGCCGGAATTCATGGCAATGGTATCAGACGATACTTCGTTCTCCACCACATGTAGCGATCTGTATGATTATAGTTCGTGGAGCAGTCCTTGGTGTCAAACACGGTCAAATGCCATCGATTAATCTAACGCTATAGCTACAGATTCGTCATGTTTTTCTAATGAAGCTTGCCATATATGGGTGACGTAGGCAAGTAAATCTCCAGTTGATCTTTCCATATTGTCTATCATCAATGATTCCCCATCACTTTGGAGATGACTGATAAAAAGGTAATTGGCCTATAATTGTTGGGCAGGATTGATTGGACTCAACCTACTTTCCAGCAAGGTGGAAATATACCCAACTTGCAGGAGATGGTAAATAGCTTGTAGAGAATCGGTGTCGATACTGCTGCACACTTTTTGAGAATAATGGGTGGTATTTCATCAGGATCGTTAAACTTATTCGTTTTGAGACAGAGCAGAATGCGTCTGATACTGCGTTGACGAAAGACAATTGGGTCATTCGACTTTCAACAGGTGGAATGACTGGCGGCACTCTTCCATGGTAGTCCAAGGTGTAGTTTGCTGCGAACATTTCTGCAAAAATGTTCGCTTTCTCTTGCAATATCGTTGCTGATGTGTCGTTGGCTTTGGAGAGTGGTGGGAATGAACTATAAGTAAAATTCCTTCGGACTGCTGTAGTAAGGGACCGAAACGAACGGGAGCCATTGGAACAATCTATGAGTTTTGATCTTATTTTGGCATTGTATGATTCTTTTGATGCGTCTATTGTTCGGCTGCATCCCTTGCTCCAACATATTTTGCTCTAGTCACGAGATGAGGGTCATTGCATCAGCAATGGTAAGTTTTTTGTTTCAAGGCAACAGCTCTAGAAACTAGAACAATTCTTGTTGAACCAGGGTTTCTAAGGTGATGGTCCTTCCGAAGAATGAGGTATGTATGTGTTCAAGCGTGATGATCTTGGATATTTCCGATGCACACTGTGAAATATCCTTAGAATCAAAACATATTTTATGCCAAGGAGACTCGGAGTAGGGCTTCGCGAGACCAAGACCAATACCAAGACGAAGATTGAGACGGAGCACAGCGAAGCCGCTCTCAGGGATGTAGGAAGAAGGTAGGGCAGAAATCCAAAACAAAAAGTATCTCGAAGGTATAGAAACGAAAGGTCTATCGTTCTTCGCAAAACTTTATTAAATAACGGCTAAAAATGCAGGCCATCCAACGACACCGATTGACGTCGAGTACTTAGCCAGGGAGCACTTTGAACAATATAAAAGAATAATTTCGTGAATTACCACATTCCTTCGCAACTTTCACGAGAGCTGACCAGAGAGAAAAAACTTGCCCTCTTCTACCTTGATGGAGCGAGAGGAAAGTTCTCTCCTCTTCCATCTTTCTCTTCAATGCTACCAACGGGACCGCATTGAAATATAGAGAGGTCCGATAAATCTTTCCTTGTCTAACCTCTAGTCTGCGCCACTGAACTATTTTCGATATTATAATGACGTGATATGTCTATGTCATGAATGTCATTGACTGATCAGTCTTGGTCTTGGTCTTGGTCTCGCGAAGCCCTAACTCGGAGAGAAACATGCGGAGACCGTATATTTGTGTGTAGTGTTTCTTTCAAATTTTGTTTTTGATTTCCGTTATTGCTATCGAGATATCGATCCAGTATTGATTTCCAGTTGGAGTGTTGCGGCGTAGACGGCCCTATGGACTGGTCAAAGAGGCCCCCCACCTGCTGTCACCCGACCAGGGAAAACGCGCCAGACCCCTCGCCAGAGCACTGCCGTAACGCCAAGCCAGGCGACGATTTCCTCTACAATTATGGGTGCTTCGAAGAGCTGCAGATGAAGGCGGAGAGTTCCTCGAAGGTGTTGATCGGAGTGGGAATAGGAGTCGCGTTCATCCAGGTGATTATCGTGTATTAATCAATCAATCAATCAAAAATATACTTTATTGTCAAAGAAAAATGTTCTCATCGACAAAGATGGTTGATTTAGAGTCTCATAATAAATAAGACACGTCATGATAAAAACAATGAGAAGTAAACAAAACACACATATACATATAAAAGTAAAATCGATACAAACAAGTAAAGAACCTAAATATAATATAATGTATCTATATATACAGGGTGTTTCATTGGGAAGGGTAAATAATTCAACTGTGGATAGGGGTCACTAGGGTGATTTGAAAAAACTCATGGTTCATGGGTCTTCGACTTCTTATAATCGAGATACAGGATGTTTCATCAATTTTGTCCATATCTTCATTGTCTCATAACTTTCCAACCAACCAGTATATATTTTCAAAAATTGGTACACTTGCTCAATCTACCCTGTGGAATTGATTGAGACAACAACAAAAGATAAAATCCAGGTCCGGCTCCACTCAGTCAGAAAACAACACCCTATACATTCGAATTTCTAATTTTTTTTGCCATATCTGAAAATTACATCAAAATTTCTATTCAACGATGTGCTTTTTATTCGTGCACAGACGATTTTAACTATTCATATTATGTGCTCAAAATATTATTTTTGATCATTTTGGGGTACAAAATTGAAATCAGACGAGATTTATTAATTTTATTACTTCCTATTCAGTATACGTGAGTATCACATTTGAAAGGAGTATTTCATATCGTTCTTTGTTCCAGACTGAGTTGCAGGTCCGTCATCAAAACTATACAGGGCTTTTCACGATGAGCGATAATTTGACGTTTTCGACAAACCAGGCAACGGATAAATCTGAAATTTCGATGGTATGTATAAATTAACATAATCTACACTACTGAAATATTTGAAACGATACGACCTTGCCGCTTCTACTAGAAAGTAACAGCAACTCCGATTTTTCAGATGGGACATCCTGTATTTCATCACAATCTTGGATTCTTGCTGAACAGCAGAATTCATCGATTAAAAACATTCAAGGTCTAGCGGGACTGATATCTGAGATATAGGATGTGGAAAATCGAGATGTTTCAACCTTAGAAATGTTTTGTGTTGAAACTATTTATTATTGCATGGTCAAAACGGCTTCAATGTCCCTATCAAAAATTTCCATTCGATATTCAATTGAAACAGATACAGGGTGGTGCAGAAATCTGAATTATGAACCATCCTGTATTTGTTTCGATTAAATGTTAATAGATACAAAGTTAAGATAGGGACATAAAAGCCGTTTTGATCAATAATAAATATTTTCGCAAAATAATTCTAAAGTTGAAACATCTCGATTTCTCTCAGTCTAAATATCTCAGTTATCAGTCCCACTAGACCCCGAACTTTGTGAATCGATTAAATCAGCTCTTCAGGAAGCATCCAGGGTGTCCCATTTGAAAAATCAAAGTTACTGCTACTTTCGAGTAGAAGCGGCAACGCCGGATTGTTTCAAATATTTCAGACGTGTAGATCATGTTAATTTATACATACCTTCGAATTTTAAGATTTATCCGTTGCCTGGTTTGCCAGAAACATCTAATTAACGCTTATCGTAAAAAGCCCTGTATAGTTTTGATGACGGACCTGCAACTAAGTCTGGAACAAAGAACGATATGAAATACTCCTTCTTAAAGCAATACTCACGTATACTGAATAGGAAGTAATAAAATTAATAAATCTCGTCTGATTCCAATTTTGTACCCCAAAATGAGGGAAAATAATATTTTGAGCATATAATATGAATAGTTAAAATCGTCTGTGCACGAATAAAAAGCACATCGTTGAATAGAAATTTTGATGTTCTCTTCAGATATGGCAAAAAAAATTAGAAATTCGAATGTATAGGGTGTTGTTTTCTGGCAGAAAGAATTTGTGAATTTTAAGTGAGGTTGGACCTGGATTTTATCTTTTGTTGTTGCCTCAATCAATTCCACAGGGTAGATTGAGCAATTGTACCAATTTTTAAAAATATATACAGGTTGGTTGGAAAGTTATAAGACAATGAAGATATGGACATAATTGATGAAACATCCTGTATCTCGGTTATAAGAAGTCGAAGACCCATCAACCATGGGTTTTTTGAAATCACCTCAGTGACCCCTATCCACAGTTGAATTATTTACTTTTCCCAATGAAACACCCTGTGTATATTTATATATATAAATTCATACATAAAATGAGTACTTGAATCAAAATGCTTCATTGAAATAAAAATTGTCGCGTACTCTTAGTTAAAAGCGACAAAGAATTCCTGGAGATTATATATTATAATATGCTTTTTTCATTAGTATTTCTTTCACAGCCTCTCTAAATTTACTGAGTAGAGGAATAGTTCTTATGGCCAATGGTAAATGGTTATACATCTTTCTGCTATTGTAGATGATCGAATGCTTCGTGAGATTAGAATTGGGTATAGACAGGTTCAAGCTGGATGTATTTCTAGTGTTATAACGTGCTTCAGTGTTAACGTTTCCAGAATATTTCTCATGTACCAGACATACAGTTTCGTGGATGAAGATACACACTTGTTGATTTATTCCTTCACTCTTGATTTGATTGGAAAATGAAATAATTGGCGAACAATCGAAAAAATAGCACTTCGAAACGAAAAAATCACACTTCTATAAGTGGAACAAAATCACAACAAAGAAGACTTGTGAATCGTCATTCGTCAAACAAAATATGAACGCCATTTTGAAATTAATGTGCCTGTCAATCGCAAATTTTGTTTATACGCAGATACTCATATTCCCAATAGCAATAATAACCTACCAACCTACTAGCATTCGCTTTATTAGTCAAATGAGTTCAGCTTTCTTTGACAACTTCCATAAAGACTTTCTAATACACAAATCAGATCCATTGAATTGTGTCCAAATAGACAGCTTCAACTGTCTAAATGGTCTGATACAACTGTCTAAATATCCTTATATGTCAATATATATTCTTTCTATTCCAGATTATTGGGATTATCCTGGCATGTTGGTTGGCATCAGCAGTGAAAAATAGGGAATAAAACCAAACAACAGAATATTATGTTAAGTTCCAAACAATAGGAGTAGATAGATAGATAGCTGAGCAGTAGGTCCAATATAAGTATTTTATTTGTATAAAAATATACCTCACTATTTGTACAATGTATTTATTTTGTATCCGTATTAGGGTCACTGACAAAATCTATCTATTATGACTAGACCGTATGTCATAATCCAAATAACTCGAAAGCCTCATCCAAATTTCTTGCCTAAAAATGAAACTGCGCACACTGTCATACATGGTAAAGACTAATGTCTAATATGTTCGGTCTAAATATTAAGTTGATGATACAGAACTCATAACCTTTATATCTTACGACTAGAACCCAATATGGCGGACGAACAAATCATGCATCAGCTGCAACACTGTAAGAGAACCATAAAAAGTAGCGGTGTTAAAAATCGTGGCGAAATGCAAATGGACGCCAGTGGCGCATCTCGATGATGGGATGAAAGTAAAAGTGAATTTGGATGATATAATTAAATGAATATGCTGCTCATTCCCTTGCACTCTACATATAAATATATTCAGAATAAGCACATCTCTCATATTATTTTTACACATTTCATAACATATTCCATTGTCATAGTCCAAGATTTGAATAATTATCGTATTCCACTGTATCAAATGAGTTAGTTCATTTCAAAAGACTCCTCAAAATAGAGACTGAAATGCTTGTGTAAAATTTGTCATTCTACTGTTTATAGAATTCACATTCCAATAACCTTGGTTCAGTTAATTTTCCATTGTTCTGGAACCTGCGAAAGATGATATCAATAGGCTTCAATAGGAAATATAGGGTTTATCATTGAAGATAACACAAATTACTCATAGAGAACATACAATTATACCCCAAATGAATGGTCTTTTCCTTAGACTGATCTCCTTGAACTTCTCGAATCTATTCCTGATGGATCAAAAACAAACAATTTATCATGTGAAGACAATGTTATTATATCATCTGAAAATTCGGGGACAGTGTTTTCAACAGCTTCAACTGAAAGCGAGAATCAAGGTATAATGTTTGTAATGGTTGTCGGTTCTTAGTTCGATTCTCACCCTGAATTTGGTCAGAAGAAAATCATCCTCGGTAGAAAGAATTGAACACATGTTAAAATGATGACCATTCCAAGTTTGACTGTATTTCAAGACCATTCTGTGTAATTGAATTCAAGAAACCTCAAGTACATTATTTCAGATAGGTACTTATAATTCGCCTTTTTACTACGCCCTCATGTTCAACAAGGAGTTATGCAGTCTTGAACATATCACTTCATCACAAAATTAGATCTATGATCACAATAACCAATTATTATTATATATTATATTATTTTAATATAACCAAAGACCTAATGATAATATTTTTGACTTTTCGGAAATAAATTTAATTACATGCAGGCACAAGTTTCAGCTAATAAAAGTGGTAACATTTCGTTGTTTGTGAACGAACCGATGAAAATGCATCACCTACGTCTCAGTAGTTTCTCACCTCTATTGTATTTCCATATAACCACGTTAGTTTGAGATTAGTATAATTTGACCCATATTTCAATGACCATGTTCAGTTCGGAAATTTGGTATGAAACCATAGGATCGCGCGTTCTAGTCTTAAGACATGAAAATTTTGAGTTCGGTGGTTGGTAATCAATCATCAGGGTTCTGAGAGATACATTATACATCCAAAGAAAAATTGATGAATCATTATAATTTCGTGTTCATATTATCTCCTTGAATATATTTTTCGATATCATGAAATCAAATATGTATTGTTATATATATAAGATTAAAATATTTGTTAGTATACTTATTTTGTTTTTCACTCCTCCCGAAACACTATTTCCTCATGATTTTGATGATTCATGTACGAATATATTATTGTTCAGAAAACAAGGAACTTTATCACCCTGAAGACTCTAAAGAAGTTACATACATCCACATATTCCCATTTGCTCCCCTGGTATTAGATGTTCAATAAGATTTCCAGAAAAACTAATGTGAATTGTTCACCAAAGTTGATTGTATGTACACTACACTGTTTTACCACTAACCAAAACTAAAACAGTTTTAATCTTCTCCTGAAGATGCTAACATAGTTAGCGAAACACGTGTCGAGGCGTTAAAAAATCGGTTTGGTTAGTGGTAAAACAGTGTAGTGTATTATCGTGCAAAAGGTTCCAGTCTTCGATATATTAATTGTATGTGTATAATTTGCAGACTGATCTGAAATGTTGCAGACCGGCAGTGAATCTATGAGGGTTTAGGGCCATTTTGACCACTTTTCATTTGTTAATTCCCATGAGAAAGATTGAGCTCAAACATAACGGAAATGGTCGCACCAAAAGTCATCTTCCTCGAAGTTGATGAACGCAAGCCGAAGTTCATTCGATCTCAAATATTGATACATAGAGTTTTAATGAATTCGTCACGATTGAGTCAACACATTTTTTGCGTTTTTCAACGTGTAGACCAGGATGAACAGAAGATGGTGTAGAAACTCCTATCAAATCACATCTACTGTTTCTCGATCAAAATTCTTGACCTAGGACCTACTTGACAGAAGGATTCTTTCCTATATCGAGGAAAATATGTTGCATTTCACCCGTTAGATGGTGAAATCTCAACCACAATTCAAGGTTGGTAGAACTGATGATAATCAAAATTCCCCAACATTACAGCTTCGTACTTTCGAATTTATTCTCATTTGATTCGAGGTTATGTTATGAATCTTTTTTGTCATGGAAGAAATTTGTAAATAGTGTCGCCATCTTGTGGACAACTGAGAACTAATATGCCATTATTGCGGAATCTGCAGTCAAGCGTTTTGGGAAAATCAAAACACTGTCTGTGATTACACCATATTCTATCCACCTTGGTCTAGACTCATGCATGACGCTTTAGTGACATTTTCGTGACGCTTCAGTAATGTTTTCGTGACGTTTTTATGACACTTGAAGTTTCTCCATATGTCTAGACGGCTTCTTGAATTAACAAGAACTCTACACATCAACGAATTATAATTTAATCCTCATCTTCTTATATATCGAAGACTGGAACCTTTGGCACGATAATACACTACACTGTTTTACCACTAACCAAACCGATTTTTTAACGCCTCGACACGTGTTTCGCTAACTATGTTAGCATCTTCAGGAGAAGATTAAAACTTCTTATTGTAGATGTGGCTTGTGGTTAGACTACGAGTCGACTTCGAGGCAGATTACCTTGAGAACTGCCATTCTCGCTACCTCCTAGCTCAACTTCTCTCATGTATAAAGAAAGGAAAAATATTTTCATAATTATGCCGAACATTCAAAGAGGATAGAAAGTGTTCAATATGAATTGTTAAGATTCCTAGCCTTTCAAAACAAGATTCGCGTTCAGGACCAAAATTATCAGCCGATTCGGAATCAATTTAAAATAATGCCGCTTAGTAAAAGACGTACTATCTCACTTATCTCAGACTTATCTATTCGTTTCAAAATTATTAGACATGAAATCGACTGCCCATACTTACTTGCAAAAATGAATTTCAACAAACAATCTTCGATATCACCGAACATATACAGAGAGTACGTTTATCTTCGGTTCGATATTATACCCCATTCAATATCCCTTATTGTTGAACTAATCTAGGACAAAACTCGCCACTAGTTCATATGCAAAAAGCATTCAACAAATACTGTCACGATCCCACTTCATCTCTCGACATCTTTGCCTAGTTCCAAATTTTTTTTGAAAACTATGTTTCTCAACTCAGATCAATATAGTTAAAAATGGTTTCTCATTTCCTGTACTCGTTCTATTATGATCTATTATGTCCTATAATTTTCACTATATTATTAATATAAAAACCTTTTCATACCATATTTTCAAGTCACATTTGTATTACTGCCTGATAATTTTATACCGATGAGAAATGTTCATGTATAATTGTAGAATTAACTTAGAATAATTCTTACATAGTGGATGCTGTTTTCTAGAACTTTTTTCTGTTAGCAACCTAAAATGGCGAATAAATAATAAGTAAATAAATATGTAGATCATTATTGGAGTGACCAAAATGGTTTCGAGCTCTCATAGCATATTTAATACTTGCTATTTTCTGCAAACAAATAATTGATTGAATTGCTTATCTATGGAAAGTATAATTACATCCATATATATTCAAATATTTGTAATGACCTCGACGGTATTTGATGCCATAATTAACTATCCCATCAAATCAATATATCTAGCTAAACTCGTGTTCTACAATTTTTTTTAGATGGTAGAAACGCCATTTGTTAATCTGTGGTTCAACAACACCTAAAGAGCTCTAGGAGCTTTAATAAATTCCTCCCTGTCACGAAAATAGGCGTGTATTGCCGCTGCTGTGTTGCTATATTTATGACCACCAGGTCATGGGGTGAATGTCTTCAATTTCGGTGAAATGTATCGATCTTGCTGTGAAACTGTTAGAATCATTAATTATTGATGACAGGCCATATAGAGGGTACCAATGAAACTCTTTAACTACGATTTTATTTAGTATTATATGGTATTGGTATATCTATCATAAAACTGATTGAATTGAAGAAGGAATCATGGTGAATCGGTTAAGTATAATGTATACAACATGAGACGGTACGATCAAACAAATTTACGATTCTCAAATTCATATCGATAAGTTTTTCTAGAAGGTTCATACTTTGAATAAATCAACTCTAGATTATCATAGGCTAACTAAATTGATATTCATACTATGATATATTATGGTATGAATTTTTTGTGAACATGGAGAAGTTCCAATATAGTACAGACCTTTTAACTTGTAATCTTGTAATGGAAACACTCCTGTCCTGTATCTTACGTATTTGTTGGGTAATAATCCTGAAACTTGCTGGAGCGAGAGATATTCCAAAAATGCACCTTTCGACCAAGTGGGGTCATCTTTAGTGGTATACACTGCTCGTCAACAGCCATGGAACTACCCCAATTTCCAGAAAATGATATTAGGAGTCGAAATATCACTTTGGATTCGGAATCAGGATGCCCAATTCACTAACTATACATATTTCTCCTGGAACATTTTGAGTTCTGAAAATTTCATTTGAGTCTCACTTTTCAAGGTAACACCCCTGTATCTTCCGTAATCGTTGGGTTAGGATTCTGAAATTTGCTGGAGCAAGAGATATACCGAAAATGTACTCTATGACCAAGTGATGTCATCTTGAGTGATATACATTGCTCGCCAATAGCCATGGGACCACTCCAATTTCCGGAAAATGATATGAGGAGGCAAAATAGGTTGAAAATTACTTCGGATTTGGAATCAGGATGCCCAATTCACTAACAATTCATATTTTTCCTGAAAAATGTTCAAATTCTGAAAATTTCAGTTTTGTCTTACTCATCATTGAAACACTCCCGTATCTTACATAATTATCGACTCAGTTCTCATCAGGACAAATGAAATGACAACCTGAACTAGTATAATCGAATACATTATCAGGAGTGATCCAATGAATGAGAAATCATGACGGGTGTCATTGAAATGAATTATGAATTAATGAATTCGTCAATAGTATGAATAAAATCGTTACCGATAATGATGTCCAGATATGAGGAGTTGGACGTCATGTTCTCGAATCCGAAGTGATTTTCAACCTATCTTGGAAATTTTGAAATATAATATTTTCCAATTGACCAATCGAATCTCAGGTAGGTACCAATTCAAATTAGGTCTTATTGAAACTCTTGATCACCTTGTATGATCGTGTGAAAAATCAATAAATTTAACATGGAAGAACCTGTTGATTGAATAGATAGTGAAAGATGCTAGGCAACTATTCTGGTAACAACTCACACATGCATTGTGAGTGATTTTGAAACTTCATAAGGAACCCATATTAATTCCCCTGGTTCACATGATAACGATGAGTTTCTACAACAAAGAATCAAATATGATGAACGTCTAGCTGTATTTAACAGAATCATTGAGAAATTGCATATTTGATACTGAAACGACATAGTTTTGTATATTCAACCAGGTTGTTGCAAAATGAGTTCTGCTGAACTTCGTCTTTATTAGTCATGTGAGTATATACCTATGGCTAGAAAAGACAAGAGCAAACCGTTTTTTTTATAAAAGAAGCAATTTGAGTTTTCGCATTTCAATCATCTTTTGATATGGGATTATTTTTATGAAATCGCATTTTTTCAAACTTGAATTTTATGGTCAAAGAACACTTCCAGAAGATAAAGGTGTGTGGTATTTCATAATAAAAATAATATGATTCAAGA